TAAAAAAAAAAAAAAAACAAAGATGGGAAACGAATTTTCTCAACATCATGAAAATATGACAAATGTGACAAGCGCACAAAATCAACATACAAGTTGTGCACCTTTGGTATCTTTATATGAACCATCGAGTATAAATAATAATAAATTAAACAAAAAACAAGAACCTTCTTCCAATTTATCCTCCAATAATGAGAATACGGATAATATTTGTTACATATGTTCGGATCAAATGGAAATTTATTCAATATCTAAATGTAATCATCGAACTTGTCATTTATGTTCTCTTCGAACAAGAATTTTACTTGACTCCGATACTTGTGCATATTGTAGAGTAAGTTTTTTTCATTAAATATTTTATTATAATATTCTTATTTGAAGATTAATATATATTTAAAATACTGAAAAAAATTATTATTATTATTATTATTTTTATTTTTAAAAAAAAACTTAATAGACTCAACAAAATGAAGTTTTATTAACACGAGATTCAAAAAAATCATTCGAAGAATTAAAATCGTCATCAATTAATTGGATAACAATCTCTAAAATTAATGTTTTATGTGAGGATGCTTCTATTTTTCATACTGCGACTCAATTGATGGAATTTCAATGTCCATCAAAAAATTGTAAAGTTATGTGTAAAGACTGGCATGATTTATCATGTCACGTGCGAATTGCTCATAATAAATTATTTTGGTAAGTTTTTAAATTATTTATAATAATCTAATATATATAATAATAATTATTAACTTTATTATCATTATTTATTTTTAGTACCATGTGTATAGTAAATCGAAAAATATTTATATCGGAACATCAATTATACACACGAGAGGAACTTGTAAACCATTATAATGGAAATAATACAGCAGATCCATATTTTCAAGGTCATCCTTCTTGCTCAGAGTGTAGTAATATTCATTTTTATGATTCATCGGAATTATATGATCATTATTTAATTCATCACAAATTCGTTCCTAACGCAAATTTATTAAGACCATCTGATCATTCTTCACATTCAACATCATCATCAACGAGTTCACAAGAACATTTAATAGAAGCAAGTGATATTGATATACCATTATTAATAATGTGTATTATATCAGGATTACTTAGTATCATTGGAAATATTATTGGAAATATAACGGGGTCAGGATGTCATGATTTTGAAAGATTCTTTCATTCTCTTGAAGATCTTTTTGTTACTTTAATGAATTATGATGATGTTAATAATAACGATCAAAGTTTTGAAATAATACTAAGAAATATGGCAAGTTCATTATACAAGGTCGGAGGAAGGTGTTTAATGTTATTTATGTACTTGATGATAATATTTTGGGTTTTAAAAGGGTGGTTTTTTTTCATGAGTTGGGCAATTTATGTGATATGTGTAATAACTTTTGGAAAAATTTGTTGGGAAAATTTAACTAAATCTTTCACTTCTAGGGATTAGATCTTGGGATTTAAATCTTGAGATTAGGTTTGGGATTTAAAGTTTGGGATTTAAGTTTGGGATTTAGGTTTGGGATTTAAGTTTGGGATTAGGTTTGGGATTAAAAGTTTGGGATTTGGGTTAAGACGTCAAGGAAAAATAATTTTTTTTAATTTACTTATTTTAATTTATTTAATTTGTTTATATTTTATTTATATATATATATATATATATATATTTCTTTTTTGTTGTGTATAACTGTATAACTACCGTATTGTATATTTTCATTATCATTATCATTTATTTCTTCATTTGTTTATTATTAGAATCAGATTACTTTTTCTTTAGGGTTGGAGTAATGGAGGCAAAAAAAAAAAAAGTATTTATTTATTATTATTTATTATTCATTATTACATTTACATTTTTTACGTATTACATTTTTCCGAAATAAAAAAAAGATTATCATAATTTTTTCACGTGTTTTAAATTTTTGGTAAGGTTTGGTTTTTTGATTTTTCTGCCACGATACAATCTTAAGATTAATTACGTATTACTATCACGCCATCGGATTTTCGGATATTGGCGCGGACCATGAATGTGTAAATCGTATTCATTTTAAGAACGGGATTTACCAAATTACAACGCCTTAAATTAAAGCCGTAATCAAAGCCGTGTAATTATAAATAAAAAATCTCTTTAATCAATATTAATCTCTTCAATCAATTTTAATCTCTTTAATATCTTTTAACCTCCTTATCCCTTTAATCTTTTCAATCCCCTAATTCCTTTAGTCAAATGTTTAATCCCCTTTAGCCAATTTTTAATCCCTTTAATCAATTTAATCCCCTTTAGTCAACTTATAATCCCTTTAGTCAATCCTTTTAGTCACCTTATCCCTTTTAATCAAAATATAAAGGAAAATCGGTATTATTAAATGGATTTCCCCCTTTTAATATTAACGTAATTATTTAAAACAATATATGTGTATGGTATAATAATACGCTCTCCTTATGACGTAAAAAAATTGTGCCCAGAAGATAACTCCTGTGGCTAAAAATAGAATATTACCCCTGTGACAAAATGATATGCACAATAAAAAATAGAATTAATTATAGAAATTTTTTTATTCTTTTTTCTTTTTTTTTAAAAAAAAATATAACAATCTGTTTCCCTTTCCTTTTTTTTAAAAAAAAGGAAAAACACAACAGTCTGCTTCTCTCTTTTTTTTTTCAAAACAAAAAAAACAATAATTATTATTATTTTAAAAGAATACAGGACGATTACCACCACCATTATTTCTTAGATTAAAGGTTCTTGAACCTCTAGATTGTCTTCTTGAATCTCTTGGATTATCATTTTCTTCACTATCTTGACTACTATTATATGTTCTCACGTTAGCCCAATCCAATTCTGATGATCGTTTTCTCGCGATTAATAATGATATAACATATAATCCTACATTTATCCATCCAAATGATATACTTGCTACATCTGTATTGCATTGTAATTGTGCTAATTCTGCTAATTTTGTTAATTCAAGATGTTTAGAATTTGTATTAATTAGGTCACATCTTAACCCTGGTCCTGAATACCACGGATCAAAATTTGCCACTCCTGAAAAAGAAGGAAAAAAGAATATAAATTGGCATCTTGCTTTTTTTTTTAAAAAAAAAAAAATAAACGACATGAAAATGATTTTACCTGATGAAAACCATAATGCAAAGAAGAATCTAGAACGTAATAAATTAACGTAAAAATTAATATTTTTACAAAAAATAAAAAAAAAAAAACATAAAAATAAATTATAATACAAACAATTCCATTAATATAAGTCTTAATGCATGATTCCATAACCACCTATAATTTGATACATAAACAACTACAAAATTTGAAAAATTCGAAAAAAAAATTTTAATTTTTATCACACAAAATGTAATATAATTTGAAATTTATATAATTTATATTTACTTGCTCCCAATAATGTTGTTGCTACTACGATATAATACCATATTTTAACTTGTCCATTATAACTGAAAAAAATTTAATAAATACGTTATTATTATTATAGAAAAAAAAGAAAAAGAAAGAAAGAAAGAAAGAAAGAAAAAATGGTATATAATATATACTACATAATATATACATAATATATACATAATATATACTCACGTTATAGATTTATCAGTTGGTAAAGGTTGCTTCTTAAAATACACTGACTTATCAATATTGATTTGTGGATAAAATTTTGATGAATTAAGTTCATCAACATAATTTGACCAAGTAACATATGATGTAACTTCTAATAAATTGATAATAATATTAGTAAAAGAAAAAAAAAATTATCTGTGCTAGTTTTACAAATAAAAAATAATATGGATGTTTACTAGCTTTCATGATTAATATTTCATATATATATGAATGTGTATATAATAATATATTGTATAATGTATATAATTTTTTACGAATTTTTTACGAATGTGAAAAAAATGTTATTATGTAATATATAATGTATAATATTTGTTAAAATATTTTACAAGAAAACAAAAAAAAAAAAAATAAAATTTTTTTTTTTTTTTTTTTTTAAAGTTCATAAAAAAAAAATCGTATCGTACGATAATAAAATCAAAAAATAAATGAATTAAATCCTTAATATATATAAATAATTTATCCGTTATAATAAACAAATGGTACCTATTAAACCTAATAAAGCATTAAAGAAGACAAAAAGGATGATAGAAACAATGGAAATAAATCATTAAAATGAGGTCAAACCAATAAGATTTCTATGATGGTTACAAATTGTTACAAACTACACAAGATACCAAAATAATCGAAAAAATTATTCGTGATGATAAAGCACAACCGGGCGCGGGCGTTTTTAAAAAAATATCTTCTTTTTTTTTAAAAAAAAAGTAGGAAGAAAAAGTAAAATACCGCGGAAAAATATTTTAAGTCTATATCTTTATTTTTATATAATCATCCCGTTTATACATTATGCGGTACTACGCAGATCAGGACATTTATACGTCTTTCACTCTTTTAAATATATCCAATTAAGTAAAATCTATAATATCATTCGAATAAATTTATTTTTAGCAAAATGAATATGGGCGTTTCCTTTTAAGTTAATATCTGAGGTTATCTTATCTTTTGACATATAAAAATTACGGCTAATTACATATCGTGTCAGAAAATACTATTAAAGTTTAAATCCATGTAATAGGAAATACATATACTTTTTTATAAAATCATTAAAAAATCAAACCGCAATTTATTATTTATAATATAACAATTATATAATATGACATATAAAAGAAATCAATATTGAGAAAAAAAAAGCCGCACAAATTCAAATCTGTTCCTGCCAGTCTGACCATGAAATGAAAATATGAGTAAATGTGAATGAATGGGATGCATGGGATAAATGCCAAAAAAAAGGAAAAAAAAAATGAATAATTTACAATTAAAAATTACAGTTATATGCTAATACTATTACTGTACTGTATAGATACAAGTGGGGAAAAATGGTATTTATATTATTAAATCGTGAAATCGTGGATTAAAGGGGGGGTATCATTAAAAAACATCTCAGGCGAAAGTTATTTTTATAAAAATGTATAAAAAAAAAACTTTCAAGTAATTCCTTTTTTTTAGATGGGATTTTGAGAAGTTTTTATGATATAAATTGGTGTTCCTCTCTTCATTTCCTTTTTACTATAAGTTTTATAAATCATAACTTGTTCAGGTTCATCAATTTGAACTATCGTATTAGGACGTGGTTTATATTTGTAAATCACTTCTCCTAAAGCTTCAACTCTTCTTTCACCTTCATATCTTTCTTGTCTTTCTTTCCATAATTTCAATGCTATTAAGGTTGTTGCAAGGAAAAGAAACCCATTAATCCAGCCAAGTGATATAAGCATCACTTTAGCTTTACACTCGCGGGCGACAGCGTCGGTTAAATTTGTATCTTCCCCTATTACAGGTAAATTATCGCAAGTATATCCATATCCTTTAAATGATGGATAAATGTTTGCTATACCGGATGTTAACCATAATGTCATGAAAAATGCATTAATAGAAATATCTCGTTTATATGGACCCATATAAAAACGACAAAATCTTGATAAATAAAATCCACTATCTGCTAAAGTTATTATTAGAACAATATAAAAAAATATTTTTGTCCCATTATAATATACGACATTATCATCTTTCATGGATTTGTTTCTATTGAAAAAATGAAGAAAAAAAAATTTTAGGATAATTGAAGCGAGAAAAACAAAACATTTAATAAATTCTAATAAAAACTTACATGTCGGCATTGAAATAAGCCGATCCGTTAAAACCTTGATCTATGTAGAATATTTGAAATGCTGCATATTCGACAATTTCTAAAAAAGAAAGAAATTATGTTATATAAATATTTGAAAAATTTTTAAAAAAACTTCTCCAAGACCACCTACCTAAAATAAAGCAGATGAAAACAATTAAGATTTCAACGGCTCTCAAGATTTTAAAAATATTGGATACAGATTGCGAATTCATGTTGTAATAAAGATTTCGTTAAAATTTGATGAAGATACAAAAAGAGTGAAAATAAAAAATATCGCGTAATAAAAGGATTCGTTTATATATGGATAATCTAGCTGGTAGATATGAATAATAAGATTTCCAAAAGAAAACTTATTTAGTATACGTAAATGTTTTTTTATAAAAAGGTGAAAATTCCTTTTTTAATTAAAAAAACGTGATGGTAATAAGGGATTTGCGATATGGAGTTGATAAAGAAAAAGGAGAAAGGAGTATAAAGAAAGGCAAAGGTTAAATAACCGCCAACTCTTTAAAGCCCGCGAGAATTTTGTAGCTGTGAAAGGAAAAGAAGGGAAATTTATTCTCAAACAAAAAGAAATTTCAATTTGAATATATATTTAATTATCAATACGTCAAGTTTATATAATAGCTAAATTAGGTTGTAATACCAATTTAATACGTAATACTAATTGTATATCAAAAATTATCCAATAAAATCAATTTTCGGATCGACCTTTAAACTATTTTAGTATAATAAAAAAAAAGCATAATGTTCTGTAACCCATATGCTCTAAAATTGTTACTATTTTTGGTATATAACGAAGATTACCCGTGAAAAAAAATTTCCTTCTTAGAACATTATTCTCATTATTATTGGTTGAGAATATTAACTAACTATTATTGTCATTTTTTATTTAATTTCTTTTAATCCTTTTTATAGTTATCATTTCTAATAATTTTTTTCAACTAATACAATTAATTATTTATCATGCGCTTATATACGATAAAAAAAATATAAATTAAAAATTTTTGTTTCATCTTCAAAGATAACGGTTTTAATGAACCTTATCTCATTATTTTCACATATGCATAAACTTTTTATAACATGCTTAAATATTTATTTATCATTCGAACTTTCAACCGAATATGGTAAATCCTTAATTAAAATTAAAACCAATCAATAATCACAAGAATGAATCTAAAGAATAAATAGTACACGAAAGTAAAATAAACAGCAATTATCAATTGAGTTTAAAATTACACGACATAATATAATATTTGATATCAAGTCTTTACTTTCACATTGTAATAAAATTATGTAATACACTCATTCAATAATAAAATATAAACACGCACACAGCATATATTTTTTTTCTTAAATAATGGCTAAAAACTATCCCATAACTTATATTTTGTGATCAGTCGTCAAAGGATAAGCCAAGAAAAAAATATATAATTTATTAAATGGTTATTAACTATTATTGTCTGTTATTAATTGTTATTATTAAAAGAAGTTATTAACTATTATTATCTTTTATTAACTATTATTAAACTATTATTAAACTATTATTAAACTATTATTAACTATTATTAACTATTATTAACTGTTATTAATTGTTATTAAAAAGAATTTTAAATATTCTTAACATTCTTTAAAAAGAAGAAAAATTATTGTAATAAATACAAATTGATTAATTGTAATTTAATTAATTTAATTTAAAAAATAAGGAAATCTCAATAAAATAATTATTTTAAAGCCATTCGTTCTCGCAAATTACTCAAACTACTCAAACTTTAATTCTATTTTCAGAATTTTCAGAATTTTAGAATTAGCAATATTTAAATTTCCAATAAAATAATAATTATGTTCAATCGTATCAGAAAAAAAACCATAAAATCTTTATGATGGTGAATCTGAGGGTAAAAGCGGATTTTTTAAAATTCCATAAATCGGTTCCGATTGTCATGTGCCCATCGGAACGACGGAAGTCACGGAACGACGGAATGACGGAATGACGGAATACTGAATAAACTGATAAAATAAGTATAAAGATCCCCGCATTTATTTTAATTGGTCGTTGTCATTTTTTTCGTTGAATTTACACAGGATGAGGTGTACATCCACGTGACGCTTGATGTATTTGTGCAATTTGCGTCAGTATTGCGCCCCTATCCCTTATAAAAAATTTTATCCGAATATTTCCGGTATATCTCCAGGCAATGCTAAAGAGAAATTTCTAAAGGACAAACTTAATGTTTATCAAAGATCAAAATAATCTATTACTTAAAGTATACATTTGTTGGAAATAAATTAGTAATTAGTAATTAGTAAGAAATGATTAACAAAATTGTTGCTCCTACGAAAAATTACAAATAATCATAAGTTATAAATATCGTAATGTTTTCTTTCGTTCAATAAAAAGATCACATATTCACATATTTAATATATTTTGCGATTTATATGTGACACAGAAAAAAAAAAAGATTTTATTCCTTTTATGAATAGATGATACAATGTACATCTATTTGATGTTTAAATGGAAGGTGATCCTTTTATTATATCATCATTATCGAAAATTTCCTAATTTTCGTTCATGCATATATGGTCTAACGTAGTCTTACGCAACTTCGCCAAGAAGCACGTCCATAAATGAAATTTTGGGTAAGTGACCGGAACGTTAATATCCGGTTGTCAATCAATTCCTATATAAGTATTTTCGTAACTGTTAGATATGCGCCCTCATCTTTGTTTTCTCATTTAATAAAATAATTGATTTCTTTTTTCAACTTGAACGAAAAAATTTAAAATAATTCAAATTTTTTTCTATCATAGGTCCATAACTCTTAATTTAATTAAACTCCAAGTTACAATTATAAAAAAAAAAAATAATAATTTTAAAAGATATATTATTTATTTATTTACTTATTTATTATTATTTTTTTTAAAAAAAAATAAAAAATGTCAACATCAAATGAACCAAATAACCCCGAGTCTGTTCAAAATGAAATTTCAAATCAAAATGAAAATATACGACAAAATCCACGTGAAACAGTACAATTATCAAAAAGTACATTAGCATTACTTAATCCTCATGAAGAAGAGCAAAGTCCATCGGATGATGAAGATGAAGAAGAAGATGAAAGTTCACATTGGCATGATAATTTTTTCGCTAATGTCTTTAAATCTCTTGGTGACAACCAACCAACTCAACCACGTTCTACAAATGTAGATCATCAAAAGAGACAAAAGAGACCTTATATTCATCGTTTACAATCTCAGGCTGATAGAAAATCTCTTGATTGTGGTTTAAGTGAACATCAATTAGCTGCGCCGTACATTGAAGAAGAACAACCTGAGAAACCCGAAGATTTCAAACGTTCTAGTACAACACCTTTATTGACTCCAGAAGAACAGCTAGAATCTTCAGAAGCTGAAGGTATATTATTATATAATTTATTTTTTTTCTTGAAAATAAATAAATTTATTTCTTATTTAAATTCTCGTTTTAATATAGGCTCAAGCGTACGTCCACATGAAAATAGTCTTAGGGATCGCGCAAAGAAAGCTTTGGCGTTACATCACATTCAAAATTTATTTACACCTTCTAATAAGGAACATTTAGAGAATGCTGGAAATTTAGCTTCTGAATTGTTACCAATTTCAATTTCTGTTCCATTCTTGTGGGCTCGTCTAGACTATAAAGGTCGTAGAGCGGTAATATAAATTTCTTAGTAGAACTTATGATTTATGATATTATAACATCTTTTAATTTAATTTTATTTAATCAATTCAGCCTCCTATTATATTTGAAGCTTTAAAGGTTTGATCATAAAACTTTTTTTATTGTATTCATCAATTACGTGAACAGTAATTAAAAATAGTTTCATTCTTATTTTTATAATAAATAGCTTGCTATCACAGATTCTTATGCTGACCATAATATGTATAACCTACAAACGATTTTTCGAATTGAGTTGGAATATGGTGATGTCAAATGGGTCATAAAAAGATCTGGATATGAATTTTTTCAACTTGATTTTAATTTAAAAAAGAGACAAGAAATTGCTGGCATACCGTCCTTCTCGACTGGTATGTCAGCATGGGTTGGAACATTATTTCATAGATCTGAAGAAAGACATGCAAGACAAGCTACATTGTCCCTTGAGAGAAGGAAAACTTTGCAAGAATATCTTATTCGATTAATAGGAGTATTGCGTAAACATGTTTCTTATGATCTTAATGAATTCTTGGAACTTAGTGCTATTTCGATTACAAGAGATATGGGTTGGAAGGGTAAAGAATGTTATTTGGAAAATAAAGTTGAAAAGTTTAGGAAACCGAGGTTTTTTTGGAGAATGAGAAATTCTAATGAAAAATGGGAAAAGGAATGGGTTATAGTTCGTGATTCGTATCCTTTTTTATTATTATTTTTTTTTTTTTAATATAATTTTCTTTATTCTTAACTTTATTGAATCCTTAATATATATAAAAAAAAAATTATAAAATAATCGTCAAATAGCTATATTGCATTTTGTTCACATATAAGTTCATCATCCCCAGCAGATGTGTTTCTGTTGGATAAATATTTTAAATGCGATAGAACTGAAATTCATGGGATCCATAAAGTTTTATTACACGATCGCATTGATTTATCAAATAGTTCTCGTAAAATTGAGCTCAGAGGCGATAAACGTACCTTGGAAAGTCTTATGGAAAGTATCAATAAAGTTAAAATATCATCTCCTTGGGTGAGACAACATCGGTTCGATTCTTATGCCCCAATAAGAGAAGCTGCAAAAATAAAGTGGTATGTTGATGGCAAAGATTATTTCTTCGCCGTTTCACAAGCCATTTTGGCGGCTAAATCTGAAATTTATATCGAAGATTGGTGGTTATCTCCTGAATTAGTAAGTATGCGTAATATGTGTACATATATATATATTTTTTATAAATTTAATTGTTCTAATAATTCCTTGTATAGTATCTTCGCAGACCTCCTAGTGAAAATGAAGATTTCCGATTAGATAATTTACTTAAAAAGAAAGCAGAAGAAGGAGTTATGATTTATATTGTTGTATATAAAGAAGTGAGATATGCTCTGACTTTGGATTCGCGTCATACAAAACTGTCATTAGAAAAACTTCATAGGAACATAAGAGGTTATTTTTCAAGATTTAAGATTTTGATGATTTTGATTCAAATAGTTTAAATAGTTTGAAACATGTAATAATTTAATTATTTGTTTTAGTTCAAAGGCACCCGGATCATGGACCTGAGGGAACGATGTTTTGGGCGGTAAGAAATAAAGTATCCATGTATATTTAATTTTTAATTTTAACACTGTTTCTTATTCTATGAAATTTTTAATTTTCATTTCAGCATCATGAGGTGAGTTTATTTCTTTAAAATATTTCGTTTATTACTTTTTTATTCTCATTTATTAACAATATTTGACACAAATTATATAGAAAATGGTTGTGGTTGATAGTCAAGTAGCGTTCATAGGAGGATTAGATTTATGTTTTGGGCGTTATGACACTCATACACATGAAATGATTGATTGGTTTCCTGAAGAAACCAAAAAAGCTCGATCAATATGGCTGGGATTAGATTACTCTAATCCAAGAGTTAAGGATTTCGCAAATGGTATTTTCTCTTTTTAATAAAGAACGAATTTTTATTAAATAAATCATATTACATTATTTTAATCACTTTGATTTCTGGTTTTTTTTATAGTTGCGGATTATTTGCATGAGATCATTGATAAAAAACGTACCCCTCGTATGCCATGGCACGATGTTTCTATAGGAATGGTAAATTCACACAATAAATTAAACTATTATTTAAAGGTTAAAAAATTTAATTTTAATTGAAGTAATATTGATCTTTAGATTGGAACTCCCGCTCGTGATGTTGCTAGACATTTTGTACAAAGATGGAATTTCATTAAAGATGAAAAGGCTTATAATAAAGAAAAGTTCCCATTTTTAACTCCAAAAGGAGAATATGTTAGTACTCGCGATGAAAGTTTATTCAGAGGTACTTGTGATGTGCAATTGCTAAGAAGTAGTGCAGAGTGGAGTAGTGGGATTAAACAGGAGGTGAGTAATGTTTTGCATAATAATTATTTATTTATCAAATCAGATTTAAATGATTACGCTTATTTATAACTCTGATATTTTTAATTGTTCAAATTAGAATTCTATCTATAATGCTTATGTTCATTTAATTCGAACTTCCAAACATTTTATTTATATTGAAAATCAATTTTTCAGTAAGTTTTTATATTTTGAAAATAAATAATATTTTAAGCAACTAGTATTTCAAGTAACTTTTTATTTATTCATTTTTAATTTCTCATATTACGATATTAGTCACTTCCACCGAACATGAAAACAATTATGTTATTAAAAATAGGATTGGAGAGGTATTTTATTAAATTTTAATTACAATATCAAAAGTTGCCTTTAATCTATAACTGGTACTAGAACTTAGCATTTTTTTGATTTAAATCAATTTATTGTTATTTTTATTTTTATTTTTTTAGGCTATTGTTGAACGAGTGAAGCGAGCTCATAAAAATAATGAAAAATTCCGTATAATAGTTATTATGCCTTTATTACCTGCATTCGAAGCCGATTTAAGTTCAAAAGATGCTGGAACAATCCGGTAAATAATAAAAAACCCTTTGGGAAGGGTAAATGATCCATTTTCTAATTTTAATGTTTTTTTATTTTATTTTATTTTTTTAGTATGGTCATGCATTGGCAATATGTTTCAATATGTCGAGGCGGGAAATCAGTTTTAGAGAAAATTGCAGAGGAAAAAATTAATCCGGAAGATTATATTTCATTTTTTGCTTTGCGTGGTTATGATAGAATTCATGCAAATGATGATAAGGGAAAGAAAACTGATGGTTCATCAACGGATCATACTAAACAAGATTCTTTCTCAGATGAACAATCTCGCCCAATTTCGGATGGTAGAATTGGCGGTGAGCCAGTTATCCCGTCAGGCATAAAACAGATGGATCCAAAACAAAATTTTGTAACCGAAGAGGTTTATATCCATAGTAAATTAATGATTGTAGATGATAGATTTGTGATTTGCGGTTCAGGTTTGTTCAAGAATCAATTTAATATACTCACTTTATTAACGCATATTTGAGATGATAATTTTCTAAAAAAAAACTTTTTATATAGCTAATATAAATGACAGATCACAGGTTGGAAATCGTGATTCGGAAATTGCAATTGTTATTGAAGATAAGAAACATGTCAAATCACGCATGAACGGGTTGGAAGTAAGTGATTATTTTAAATTAATTCTTCGAATTTCTTCTTTTATTTTAATTATTTCTTTTAAATTTTATAATTTTATAGTATCAAGCATCAAAATTTGCATACACATTACGGAGCAGCCTTTTCAAGGAACATTTGGGAATATGTGAACCACAAGACCATTCGTCAGTTACGAAAAGTTCTCTGCCGCCCGTGAGTAGAGAAATATTATTTGATTTATTACACGAAAGAGATAGATCTATTTCTTCAATATTAGATGATGATATGAATTATAAACAACCTAAAATTAAACATCCAACAAAAGAAGATTTAATTGTTATGGATCCACTCTCTGATGAATTTTATGATCATTGGAAAACAACTGCGAAAAACAATTCTGAAACATATCGATCGGTATTTAGATGTATTCCTGATAAGAATGGTGTGTATCATTTTTTTTTTGAATGTCTTTTAATGTTTTGGAATTTGATTAAAATAATTTTATTAAATATCTTTTATTTAGTAACGTCATGGGATGAGTATAAACACTTCGTTCCTGATCAAACTAAAGTCCCCATAGGGCATGTTGCAAATTCGGAGACTCCTATAGATGAAACAGTTAAAAAATTGAATAATATTCGTGGACATTTAGTTGAATTTCCTTATGAATTTTTAAATAAAGAAAATTTATTAGGAAGTGTAATTTCAAATGCCGTAACTCCCGCTGAAATATTTACATAGTTTAAAAATACAAAAATTTTCATATAGCTAGCTTATTTAATATTTATTTTATTCATATTATTTATTTGTATTTATTACCATAAATATTATAAAAATCAATAAAATCAAGTTTATTCTTTTTAATTAAAATGAGTTCATCATTTGAGATCGACTGTACAGCAGACCTGATAATCATATGTCTTGAGGTCATATTTATAAATGTTTCACAAAATTTGCCCAGAGATTTTAATCATATTGATTATATAAACAATCATTATTAACTTTCCAAAAAAAATTTTTTTTTTTTCTTTTTTAAAAAAAAGCTTTTTTTTAAAAAATTTAAATGAACCCACCAAGATATGATGGAACTGTCCATCCAGATGAATGGATTAAACAAATTAGAACATTTTGTTATTTTAAACAAATTACAGAAGAACAAGAAATAGTAAAATTTTGTAAATCAATGATACATTCAACGATTAATATTAATAATAATAATGGTAATAATGATAATAATAATAATAATAATAATAATGAAATAGAAGAAATCAATACATTAGATTCACTTTCAAATGCTTTAAAATCTCATATAACATTTCAAATACTTAAAGATACATGTAAAAGAAAATTACAAGTATTAAAATTTGCACCAGAAATTCATGGAGGAGATACAGCAAAATTTATTTCATATTTTAATATGAAATGTTTTGATGCTGAAATAAATGATTTAGAAGAACAAAAGAAATTATTATTTCATAGTTTTTCTGATGATTTTTTTCGTAAAGAATTTAATAAACAAATTCATAACGTTAATTCAAAAGAAGTTTTATTTAAATTATTTAATAATATAGTTAATGAATATTCTAAGTTAATTAAATATGGTAATTTTGTATCTTTAAAACATATTACTACTGGAAAATATTTGACTACTGATGATAAAAAATATCTTACTGGTTCAAGAGGTCAAATTGTAAGTAATTATTTTTTTTTATTTTCCTCGAAAATTTTAAAAGATTTTTAAAAAATTCTTTTTCTTTTTTTAAAGGTATTTTCAACTGATGCATTACCTGAAGCTAATGCTATATGGAAAATTAATTATCCATTTGGAAGTCAACCTAAAGCAAATAATGAAATAGTATCATATGGAGATACGATCAGTTTACAAAATAAATTAGGAAAGATGTTATGGGCGTATCCAAATTATAAATCTCCAACTTCTGGTCACGTTGAAGGTATTTAAAATGTATATTCTAATCCAGATTATATATATATATTACATATACATGAATGTCTTATTAATTTTTCTAATCGTTTTTAGTTAGTTGTTATTCAATGAATCAATATAATAATTGGATGATTGAACCAAATATTAGTAATATTAGTACAAAGAAAAATAGTAATGAAGAAAAAAGATATTTAAAATCAGAAGATAAAATAGTTATTGTAAATGAAAGTAAAGAAAAAGTTATGATTTTACATAGTCATAATATTAAATTTACTTTAGATAATTCATTATATCAAGAAGTTTTTTGTCATGATAATAGAATTCATTTAAAAGATGAGGTGAGTTTATAAAAAAAAGAAAAAAAAAAAAAGATTAGAAAAAAAAAATTATTATTATTTTTTTTTACATGATAATCGACATACTATATATATGTTTATATTTGCGTTTCATAATGAACCAGTATAAAACTGGATATTAATTAAATATATAAATAAATAAAATGCCAAGTTCTTTTTCATTAAAAATTTACGCTTTTTTTTAAAAAATATGGATATTCCAAAATATGACGGAAATATTCATCCAGATGAATGGATAAATGATATTCAAAAGTATCTTAAACTTAGATACACAGGTGATAATTATTTGAATATTGCTATATCATTAGTAGATTCCAATATTATCTCACTTCCAACTAATATTGATAGTTTTGAAGAACTTCGTAATACACTTAAAGAGGATATTTCTTTTACAGTATTTAAATGTACAAATAAAAGGTTATTAGAATTATTAAAATATATACCCGAAAAAGAAGGTGGAAATACTTCAAAATTTATTTCAGATTTTCGTAAATTATGTTACAATTCTGAAATTAATGATATACGAGAGCAAAAAAATTATTTTTGTAATACACTTCCAAAACTTCCAAATAAGAATGATACCGATTGTTATAATTATCTTCTGGAATTTATCAAGAGAAGGGAGAAAATCAAATCAATGAATGATTTAGTTAAAGAATTCGTGGAAATTATTACAGTTGAATTAAATTTAATTAAAAATGGATCTATTGTAGCTTTAAAGCACGTTGTTACAGGAAAATATTTAAGTTCGATTGAAAATTTACGTTATACAACTGGAAGCATGAATCAGCTGGTATATCTATTTATACATTTCTTTTTATTACATCAATAATTAACTTTATTCAATTATTTTAGGCTTTTGCGGGCAGCCCAGAGCCTGATCTAAATGCTTTATGGAAAATCGAATTTAGTGGAAAATTAGCTATGTATAATAAAACTTCTATAAGATTACGACATGTTAAATCTGACAATATTCTTGGATTACGTTTTTTTTTCAATAGACATGGATATTTTTATTGCAAATCTCCGATAACCGAACATGCAGAAGGTAATAAATTGAAAATTTTTTACTTAATTTATTATTAATTAAAGAGATAAAAAGTAATCAATAGTAATTCTTTTTAGTGTGTTGTGACGGAAATGAAAATCTTTGGAAGTTTAATTATAGTAAATTAGAAAATCACCAAGGATATTTGAAGTCAAATGATATTATTAATCTTAGTATTGCTAAAGAGTATGATAATTATAAAATTTCATTTTTACGTAGTCATGACGTTCAATTTACTATTGAAAATAATATTTTTCAAGAAGTTGTTTGCCATAGCGAAAGATTAGGAGGGAATGATGAAGTAAGTTTTTTATTTTGTTTTGTATTTGAAATGTTCAATAAATAAAAAATTTATTTATTTATTTTTTATTTTTGTTAGTGGCGCATTGAACTTATTAGTCAAGATTGAATAAATTAGGATGTGAGTTATATTCGAGAAAATATAAATTATTTTAGTTTATTTATCAAAAATTTGAATTCCTTAATTATAAGTAGCCATAATTTTTGTGCATAATATTTATTCTAATATTTGATTTTAATAATCATAAATAAATAGTACTGGATCCACGATGTTTTCCTTAAAAAAATCACTTGTAATATTGATAGTTCAAACTTTCAATAAACAAACTACATGCGTCGACTATTATAAAAGAGATCGCGGTAATCCATTTTCAGAAATATTGACAATTCTAAGTGTCGCTGTTTACGATTTATAAAATGATCAATACTCAAGTTGCCAACATTTTTTGATTATGACAGTAAAATCTATTACAATTTATTTGTCTGTTAAAAATATATAGCAAATTTGTTATTTTAATAGTATGATAAGTTTCAATTATTTGAGAGATTTTTTACATTTTTTTGTCTGTTAAATGTAAAAAGTATATAATTTTTTTATTAATCAACACTTTAAGAAAAATAAATATCGGTAATAATAATATTGCTTTCAGTATGTCAGAATGTCAGATGCTCAGATCACGTGAAGCAAATGTATCGTTCTTATACGTGTACGACATACTATCTTATACGACGTATATGTCACATAATATAGGTCGTATAAGATAGTATGTCGTACACGTATAAGAACGATACATTTGCCACTGTGAATGTCATTTAGTTGTGTTCGCACGTGATAATAATATGCATGATAATCGACATGTTTGTTAACGCGCGTAATACGCGCTTCTTCATAAACCAATATAAAACTGGATATAAAAAACGCGGTCCAAAATTTTACGCTTCTTTCTTAAAAAAAAAAAAAAAACTTTAGAAATATAAAAATATGGATATTCCAAAATATAACGGAAATATTCATCCAGATGAATGGATAAATGATATTCAAAAATATCTTGCACTTAGGAAATATGATAAAAATTATTTGGATATTGCTATATCATTAGTAGATTCCAATATTATCTCACTTCCAACTAAAATTAATAGTTTTGAAGAACTTAGTAACGCACTTAAAGAGGATACTTCTTTTACATTATTTAAATGTACTAATAAAAGGTTATTAGAATTATTAAAATATATTCCTGAAAAAGCAGGTGGAAATACTTCAAAATTTATGTCAGATTTTCGTAAATTATGTTACAATTCTGAAATTAATGACATAGAAGAACAAAAAAATTATTTTTGTAATACACTTCCGAAACTTCCAAATAATAATGATACCGATTGTTATTATTATCTTCTGGAATTTATTAAGAAAAGGGAGAAAATCAAATCAATGAATGATTTGGTTAAAGAATTTGCGGAAATTATTGCGGATGAATTAAATTTAATTAGAAATAGATCTATTATAGCTTTAAAGCATGTTGCTACAGGAAAATATTTAAGCTCAATTGACAATTTGCGTTATACAACTGGAAGCAAGCGTCAACTGGTATTTCTATTTATACATTTCTTTTTTATTGCATCAATGATTAACTTTATTCAATTATTTTAGGCTTTTGCAGGCAGCCCAGAGCCTGATCTAAATGCTTTATGGAAAATTGAGTTTAGTGGAAAATTACCTATGTATAATAAAACTTCTATACAATTACGACATATCAAATCTGGCAGTGTTCTTGGATTATATTATGATTACAACTATTATGCTTATTGCAAATCTCCGATAACTGAACATACAGAAGGTAATAAATTAAAGATTTTTTATTTAATTTATCATTAATTAAAGAGATAGAAAGTAATCAATAGTAATCCTTTTTAGTGTGTTGTAACGGAAGTGAAGATCTTTGGAAGTTTAAGCATATTAAATTAGAAAATCACCAAGGATATTTGAAGTCAAATGATATTATTAATCTTAGTATTGCTAAATCGTTTTTGCGTAGTCATGATGTTCAATTTACTATTGGAAATGATACTTTTCAAGAAGTTGTTTGCCATAGCGAAAGATTAGGAGGGAATGATGAAGTAAGTTAAAATTTTGTTTTGTATTTGAAATATTCAATAAATAAAAAATTTATTTATTTATTTTTTATTTTTGTTAGTGGCGCATTGAACTTATTAGTCAAGATTAAATAAATTAGGATGTGAGTTAATTTCGAGAAAATATAAATTATTTTGGTTTATTTATCAAAAATAAGAATTCCTTAATTATTGATAACTTAAGTAGCCATAATTTTTGTGCATAATATTTATTCTAATATTTAATAATTATAAATAAATAAATAGTACTGGATCCACGATGTTTTTCCTTAAAAAATCACTTGTAATATTGATAGTTCAAACTTTCAATGAACAAACTACATACGCCGACTATATCGCGGTAATCTATTTTCTGAAATATTATTCACGTAAATATAAGTGTCGCTGTTCACGATTTATGTACTCAAGCTGCCAACATTTCTGATTATGACAGTAAAATCTATTACCAATTTATTTGTCTGTTAAAAATATATAGCGAATTTGTTATTTTAATAGTATGATAAGTTTCAATTATTTGAGACATTTTTTTTGTCTGTTATATGTAAAAAGTATATACTTTACAGATCGTAGCGATGGCTTAATGCGCAGTAACTGCATATATGTAATCTCTTTACGATTACATAATGTGGTCACTATGTATTAATCCATCGCTACGATCTTGAAGTTTCTGTAAAGTAACTTTTTTTATTAATCAACACTTTAAGAAAAATAAATATCGGTAAATAATAATATTGTTTTCGTTTTCTATTATTGAAGAATGCTCAGTATGTCAGTTCACTGTGAATGTCATTTAGTTTGTAGATTTTTGTGTTCGCACATGATAAATGATATGATAATCTAAACCAATATAACTGAACGCAGAGTCCAAAATTTCACGCTTTTTTCTTAAAAAAAAAACTTTAAAAATATAAAAATATGGATATTCCAAAATATGACGGAAATATTCATCCAGATGAAATGGATAAATGATATTCAAAAATATCTTAAACTTAGATACATAGCTAAACACGATGATGATTATTTGAATATTGCTATATCATTAGTAGATTCTAATATTATCACACTTCCAGCTAAAATTAATAGTTTGAAGAACTTAGTAACGCACTTAAAGAGGATATTTCTTTTACATTATTTAAATGTACAAATACAAGGTTATTAGAATCATTAAGATATATTACTGAAGGTAATACTTCAAAATTTATTTCAGATTTCCGTAAATTATGTTACAATTCTGAAATTAATGATATAGGAAAATAGGAAAGCAGAAAAATTATTTTTGTAATACACTTCAAAACTTCAAAATGATGATGATAACGATTGTTTTAATTATCTTCTGGAATTTATTAAGAGAAAGAAGAAAATAAAATCAATGAATGATTTAGTAAAAGAATTTGCGAAAATTATTGCAGATGAATCAAATTTAATCAGGAATAATTCTATTGTAGCTTTAAAGCATGATGTTGCTACAGGAAAATATTTAAGTTCAATTGACAATTTGTGTTATATAACTGGAAGCAAGAATCAACTGGTATATCTATTTATACATTTCTTTTTTATTGCATCAATGATTAACTTTATTCAATTATTTTAGGCTTTTGCAGGCAGCCCAGAGCCTGATCTAAACGCTTTATGGAAAATTAGTACATTTAAAGAAAAATTCCCTATGTATAATAAAACTTCTATAAAATTACGACATATCAAATCTGGCAATGTTCTTGGATTATGTAATTTTTATAAAGATGGATTTTTTTTATCACAAATCTCCGATAACTGAACATACAGAAGGTAATAAATTAAAAATTTTTTAATTTATTATATTAAAGAGATAGAAAGTAATCAATAGTAATTCTTTTTAGTATGTTGTAACGGAAATGAAAATAGTTAAAAGTTTAATTATAGTAAATTAGAAAATCACCAAGTCAAATGATATTATTAATCTTAGTATTGCTAAATCGTTTGGTAATTATCAAAATTCATTTTTACGTAGTCATGATGTTCAATTTAGATACTTTTCAAGAAATTGTTGGTCATAACGAAATAATAGAAGAAGTAAGTTATTTTTTGTATACGAAATATTTAATTAAATATTTATTTTTTTTTTCTTTATTAGTGGTGCATTGAACTTATTAAACGAGTTTAAATAAAGTAGGATGTGAGTTACTACATTCGAATTACTTCTCAAAAAATTTTGATAATCATAATAAATAAATAGCACTAGATCCATAACGATTTCCTTAAAAAGTCGTCATCTATAATATTGATAGCTCAATCTTCAATAAACTAGTACGTAAACTAACTATTCTAAATTTCTAATTAAAAAAAAAGTCACAAGTTGGAAGTTATAGTGTTACCCACCAGTCCACTAAAGGTATTGTATTTGCGTATCTCGAACGACTCAAGAATATTGAGCGTTATGATTGTTAACACTAATTGATTCAACTTATAAAACAAACAGATATGGTTAGCACTATTCACCTTGTATATCCGTGGAAGTCTCTAATTGTTGTCATTTTCAGAAATATTGACAATCAACATATCGATGTATATAAGTAAATAAAATTACTGATAACCCTTATCTGATTTTGAAGCAAAGGTACTTTAAAAGTTTTGATCTGTGTGACATTATCTTTCTGATGCACACCCATAAGATATCATGTATGACTTTTGTTTCAAATTTATTATTGATACGGGAAATAAAATATATGATTCAACTTGTAGTTGTGATACATAGATTTGCTACACGATAGTTCTATATTAATGCCTGCAGAGGTTTTTCACTTGTCTAAACTATCTATACTAACACCATGATTGTTTCAATCATCAATATCCTGGATAAAAAAAATTGGTCGTAGGACGTCAGTTATAATATCGAAAATAAATCAAATCTTAACTTAGTAAAAGCCCCGCCAAAAACTTCTTGTGTCTTCCATAATGCTAATAAATTTCTCGGGATTCCTGAACGGAAATTTCATTTACTATATATGCACAGCCACAACAAAAAAAAATATTCATACTTTTTAAAATTGCATGTCTTGTCGGCATTCCTTGTTGGTAGTCCTATTTATTTGGGTTTAAAAAATAAAAGCCTTATGTGCTTGCTGCACAACCGCAGTTTATTAAGTTTCGTATTTATTCGCAATTTAACAAGTGTTGTCGCCTTTTTTTCTTTTATTGATAAAAAATAATTACAAGAGCAGTAATACATTATGTTTCTATCTTGTAAAATACACTCATAAAAATTATTGACATTTGAAATTCTAAATACTAATTGTAAAATCATCACCTCAATAACAATTACGCTATCTAATAAGTATAATGATCAAGCAAATTGGTCAATTTACGTTTCTCTTCATCAAACGATCTAACGTCACAATGAATTCTTGACATCCCAAAGTCAATTAAGTAAACAACATCATTAGTATCATCAAGCAAAATATTTGCCTCGCGAATATCATTGTGAAGTACTCCTCTATCATGAATTGCATTTAATGCAAGGAGACCCATAACTCTTTGCCGTTCAGTTATACGTTTATAATTATTTAAAGCAGAACCAACAAGAGTCATGCCAATAGCATAATACATCCCACCGTAAAAGCCATAACACAACAAATTTGGAATATGAATTCCTTGAATATCAGAGAGAATTTTATAAATATTGACTTCTTGTTGCATTTCTTTCAAGACATGTGGGTTTTTTGATAGGTCAGTACACTTCAAAGCAATTGTATTTCCGCGGAATTCACATAGGAGTGTCTTCCCACTTCGTCCTTGGCCTAATATACTCTTATACTTGAAATCTGCAAAGCTAAAATCCTGAATAGGTATCTGCATTTTTTCGTTTGTACTAGGAGATGGTTTCTTCTTAGAAGCTATGACTGTCTTTCTTCCCTTAGTTGATTTAGTAGTTGATTCGAAATAGGACACTGAATGTTTATTTCTTTTATCAGTAGTTATAACAGGATTTCTAGAAAACGAATCTGCACATAAAACCTGAACCATATATGCATACGTTTTAAGGACCGGTGGTGATTGAGACTGTATTGGAAGGGTCTTTGAAATATAAAGCACTGATGGTTCATCAGCTGGCCGGCGTAGAAACCAGTGATGTTGATAGGTTGATAACACGCCATACTGAAGTTGAGATTCTTTCATGTAGGTAAAAATCTGTCGAATAACATCTCTTGCATGGGTCATTTCATAACGTTGGTTTTTTTGATCGAAATACAGGAATGTTTGTTCACCATCCAATCGGAACAATTGTAAAATGTGCTCACTCTTGATCTCGATTGGCGCGATAAATTCAAATGAAAACATGGCAGAAAAATCCGGTTTACCGGCGATAGGAACTGATTGTCTCGAAAATTCATAGTCCGGCAAAAGGACGTTTAAAACTTTACAAATATTGCAATAAAAAGCAATGCGAATGTCCTCTTCATTAATACAATCCGAGAAGTCGATAAATTGTGGTCTTCCAAATTTCGGTTCATTGTCAAAGTGAAAATTATTAACTTCTTCGAAAAGATCATCCCAAAGACGAATCTCCCCTGGAAATTGATCACCTGAATATGTAATGCTCTGCTGTGAGATAATATTTGGATGATACTCAATAGGTAACGGAACACATGATAATACCTGTTCTTGACTAAGAAGCCCTAAAAAACAAAAAAAATAGCTTTAACTACGAAAATAAACTGTGTCTGTTGAATAACAAAAGCGCTCGAACTTTAAACTATTTGATTGAACCTACTTTGCTTATTTAACTCATCGATAAGATCCTCAAGATCTTCCGTCGGTCCCCCAGGAAAGTTATAAGGATGGGTAAGAAGTCTTTCTCTGGTCAGTTTAAGAAATTGACGACCATTAATTCTTTCCCTACGAAAAATTTTATATTCTTTATTTTTAAGGCCAAAGTCCTTTCCTTTTAAAAAAGTGATGAGTTGTTCCGCATCATATCCTTCCACAACTTCGGTCGATGGATTAGCAGAAGTGGACATATACAGTATTGATAAAAAAATATATAGTGGGACAAAGCAGTCAACGGTTGTACAGTTTCAGAAAAAAAGGAAAATTTTGCATTAAAAAATGTGGTATATATAAGAAATTTATGGTCACACAAATGAGTCGTATGTCAAATGACACAGAAATGACATTGAAATGACATCAAATGACATCGATTTTACTATGAGAAATGACAAATGTCATTTGAAGAATGAATTTAACAACACTGGTGCCTGATGCTGGCATAAAATTTATCTTTATGCATTAAGAGACTAGAATTTTAACCGAATACATCATTAAATAGTTTGCAGGTGTTGCCGAACGAAAAATGTGTACGATACTCTAACTCAAGTCCGGTCAAGGATGTGGATAATTTATAATTTTTATTGCTGTGTTCACTATATACTACGTAATACAATTCATAAAATGATCAATATTCAAATTTGCCAACATTTCTGAATATAACAGTATTAAACTTTTACCAATTTATTTGTCTGTTAAAGTATTTTTTATATTTGATGATAATAGTTAATGGTTTGAAAAATTTTTACTTATTTTGTCTGATAAATGTTATATATTTATATATTAATCAATACTACTTTAAGAAAAATATATACTAGAAATAATTCTGCTTTCGATTCTCTATTTTGAGATTTTAAAAATAGTGCTCGTGAACAATGATCACAATGATCATTTGGCCATTTAATATTGTGCGATAAATGATATGCATGATATAGTGTTTCGACCCGGATGGGTTATTAACGGATCAATCCGCGGTTTAGTGGTTTACTACGGTTTGGCATCGGTTTATTTGAGTTGGAGCTATAAGTTTGGCCAAAATTAATAAAATTTGTAGAAGAATAATTTTTTTTAAATCTGACAAAAATTATAGTTTGACAAAAATAATAAAAAAAAAATGTTGTGATGCTAATCAACGGATCAATCCGGGTCGAAGCACTAGACCATGATAATCGACATATATATATTTATACTAGCGTTTTATTAAACCAGTATAAAACCGGATGTAAAAATTCTGAGTCCCTTTTATTAAAATTTTACGCTTTTTCTTAAAAATATGAATATTTCAAAATTTGATGGAAGTACTCATCCAGATGATTGGATAAATGATATTAAAAAATATTTTGATATTAAGCAACCAAATAAACATGGTGATTATTATTTGAGGACTGCTATATCATTAGTAGATTCTAATATTATTTCACTTCCAGCTAAAATTAATAGTTTTGAGGAACTTAGTAACGCTCTTAAAGAGGATATTTCTTTTACAATATTTAAATGTACAAATAAGAGATTATTACAATCAATGAAATATATTCCTGAAAGAGAAGGTGGAAATACTTCGAAGTTTATTTCAAATTTTCGTAAATTATGTAATTATTCTGAAATTAATGATATAGAAGAACAAAAAAATTATTTTCATAATGCACTTTCAAATAATGATAACAGTCATAATTATTATTTTTTTGAATTTTTTAAAAGAAAAGAGATAATAAATTCGATGAATGAATTAGTTAAAGAATTTGCGGAAATTATTACAGATGAATTTAATTTAATTAGAAATGAATCTATTGTAGCTTTGAAACATGTTGCTACAGGAAAATATTTAAGTTCAATTGACAATTTATGTTATACAACTGGAAGCAAGCGTCAACTGGTATGTCTTTTTATATATACATTTCTTTTTTTGTTTCATCGGTAATTAACATTTATTCAAATTTTAAGGTTTTTGCAGGCAGTCCAAAGCCTGATACAAACGCTTTTTGGAAGATTAAATTTAATAAAGAATTAGCTGTATATAATAAAACTTCTATAAACTTACAACATATCAAATTTGGCGAAGTTCTTGGATTATGTTATAACTACTGCAGTACTTATATTTATTACAAATCTCCGATAACTGAACATACAGAGGGTAACAAATTGAATATTTTTTACTTAATTGTTTTTTACTTAATTTATCAGTGACAGAAAGTACTCATTAGTAATTCTTTTTAGTATGTTGTGGCGGAAATGAAATTAGTTGGAAGTTTAAGCATAGTAAATTAGAACATCACCAAGAATATTTAAAGTCAAATGATATTATTAATCTTAGCATTCATAGACATGATAATTCTCAAAATTTATTTTTACGTAGTCATAATGTTCAATTTACTATTGGAAATGATACTTTTCAAGAAGTCGTTTGTCATAACGAAAGATTAGGAGGAAATGATGAAGTAAGTTATTTTGTTTTATATTAGAAATGTTAAATAAAATACTTATTGTTTATTTTTTTATTTTCATTAGTGGTGCATTGAGCTTATTAAACAAGGTTGAATAAATTGGATGGGGGCTATATTTGAAAAAATATGAATTACTTCAATTTAATCATCAAAAATTTGAATTCATTTAATCAATGATGTTTTTTCCTTTTAAAAAAAAATTACTTGTAATATTGATAGTTCAAACTTTCAATAAACAAACTACGTGCGCTGATTATTCTAATTTAAAAAAAAAAAAAAATTATGAAATATCGATAATTTTATATGAATATAAATGGATAGCTTTTTTACTGTTTTCAATGTGTTTGCTATTTACGATTTATAAAATGATTAATATTCAAATAGTTATTTTAATAATCTGATAAGTTTCAATTATTTTACTATCTTTTGTCTAATGAACGTATACATGAGGGCGTAATTATTTCAGATAACTCAACATTAAGACAGCGCAATGGTGAAATATATTATACCGAATTTTTGTTCAAAAAATAGTATTACACCAGTTACACCGGTATAATGAATTGGTGTAATGTACCGTCAACCATCAGCATGGTTTGAACCTAATTCGCCCCATGTATTTATGAACCATGAACGCAAAAAAATAATACAATTTTTTTATTAATCATTATTTTAAGAAAAACAAATTAATCAGTATCGGTAATGATATTCATTTTCGATTTCAAATCAGTGAAGTGATCACCGGGATCATTTGGCCATTTAAGGATTTACTTGACTATGAAGCGTAGTATGAAGTACTATACTGATCAAAAGTATGAAGCGCCATACTGATCAAAAATCTGGGATTAAACCCTGGATCAAACCCTGGGGTGAAAATAGACTAATCCATACTTCATCTCGGATCTTCCTATATTTTATCCTGGATCTGATCCATATTTTATCCTTTGATCCACATTTTATCCCAGTCCAATTATCAAACCCTGGATTAACCTACACTTTATCCCAATTTGATCTATATTTTATCCCGGATTTGATTTTGTTTCTAACTTATGTAATCAGATTTTTTTGTTTATAAGATCATTTTAGAAACTTCTCTTATAACTTTAAAATAAAGAAATTTCCAAGTTTTCACGGGGTGTTTAAACAGGAGCACGTGATTTTAATTGGGATAAAATATAGATCAGATCCTGGATAATTATAGGAAGATCCGGGATATAAATCCTAGGGTTTAATACCGATCAGTATGACGCTTCAGCCGCTTCATACTTGACCATATATGTTCACACATATGACAAATGATGTGCATAATAATAAACATTATAAAATGTATAAAACTGGATATAAAAAACGCCGTGTCCTTTTTTTACGCTTTTTCTTAAAAAAAAAAAATTTAAAAATATGGATATTCCAAAATATGACGGAAATATTCATCCAGATGAATGGATAAACGATATTCAAAGATATCATGAACTTAGGGGTACAGATGAATATGATAGTTATTATTATTTGAGGACTGCTATAGCATTAGTAGATTCTAATATTATCTCACTTCCAGCTGAAATTAATAGTTTTGAGGAACTTAGTAATGCACTTAAAGAGGATATTTCTTTTACATTATTTAAATGTACAAATAAGAGATTATTACAATCATTGAAGTATATTCCTGAGAGAGAAGGTGGAAATACTTCGAAGTTTATTTCAAATTTTCGTAAATTATGTTATAACTCCGAAATTAATGATATAGAAGAACAAATAAATTATTTTTATCGATTACTTCCAAATAATGAATATTATAATTATTTTTTGACTGAATTTTTTAAAAGAAAAGAGAAAATCAAATCAATGAATGATTTAGTTAAAGTATTTACGGAAATTGTTACAGATGAAACAAATTTAGTTAGAAATGGATCTATTGTAGCTTTAAAACACTTTGCTACAGGAAAATATTTAAGTTCAATTGACAATTTACACTATAAAACTGGAAGCAGATATCAACTGGTATGACTTTTTTATACATTAATTTTTTGTATTTTATTGGTAATTAACTTTTATTCAAATTTTTAAGGTTTTTGCAGGCAGTCCCGAGCCTGATCCAAATGCTTTATGGAAAATTAAATTTGATAAAGAATTAGCTATATATAATAAAACTTCTATAAGCTTACAACATATCAAATCTGGCAATGTTCTTGGATTATATTATAAAACCGATTATGGATATAGTTGTATTTATTACAAATCTCCGATAACTGAACTTACAGAAGGTAATACATTGAAAGTATTTACTTAATTTATCATTAATTAAAGCGACAGAAAGTGCTCATTAGTAATTCTTTTTAGTATGTTGTAGCAAACAAGTAATTAGTTGGAAGTTTAATCATAGTAAATTAGAAAATCACCAGGGATATTTAATGTCAAATGATACCATTAATCTTAGCATTATTAAGCATGGTAATTCTCAAAATTCATTTTTACGTAGTCATGATGTTCAATTTACTATTGGAAATGATACTTTTCAAGAAGTTGTTTGCCATAGTGAAAGATTAGGAGGAAATGATGAAGTAAGTTATTTTATTAATTTATATTTGAAGTGATAAATAAATGCTAACTGATTTTCCCTTTATTTAGTGGTGCATTGAACTTATTAAACAAGGTTGAATAACATAGGATGTAAGTTATATTTGAGAAAATATAAATTACTTTAATTTTAATTGTCGAAAAATTCGAATTCCTTAATTATTGACAACTTAAGCAGCCAAAGTTTTTGTGCATGTTGAAAATAACCGATGTTCAGATTTTTAATAATCTCAAATAAATAGTGCTAGATTCTTGAAGTTTTTTCAACAAAACAATCTTGTAATATTTAAACTACGTACGCTGACTATTCTAATTAAAAAAAAATCCGATAAAAATAAAGTCTCCAGTTATTGCTGTTTTCGGTGTTATCGCTATACAGTTCACCCTCACTATAGTGAATCCTATGGGCTGGAGATTAAAATTCGTTATAGTGAGAAATTCACTATACTGAGGGTCATTTTATTATATATAAAAAAATCTGTACCTGAACTTTTCTTCATTATAGCAAGTTATTCACTATAAAAATTCATTATAGAGAGGGTGAACTGTATACAGTACGATTTATAAAATGATTAATATTCAAATTGCCATCATTTTTGAATATGACAGTAAAATCTTTTACCAATTTATTTAATATATTTTTTTCTCAAAGCTGCTCATATAATGATAATAGTTATTTTAATAATGATAAGTTTCCAATTATTTGAGAAATATTTATTTTTTTTTTTTCTGATAAACGTAAATATATTTTATTAATCGATACTCTAAGCAAAATAACAATTCTGCTTTCGTTTCTATTATTGAAGATTTCAAAAATAGCGCTCATGGTGCTTAACCATTTGTCATTTAGCTTAGTATATTAGTAAACTTATCAATCCAATTAAATTATTTATATAATATTGGTGATAATTCTATTTATTTATCAAATTTATAAAAAAAAAGCAATACATAGTCACATTCCATCTAATTCTGTATGTATATGATATTAGTAGTATTGAAAACGTAAAATCATTTGTCATTTCAAGTCAAGGATTAATAAAATTTATGTCACTATACTAATAACCAATAAAAAGGGGTGTCTATGTAAATAAATATTAATTAACTTGCACTTTTGCAACATCAACTTGCACTTTTACACCATCAACTTACTTGCATTTTTGCACCGTCTACTTTAGAAAAAAAAAATGAAACTTTCAAAATATGATGGAAATATTCATCCGGATGAATGGATAAATGATATTCAAAAATATCTTGCACTTAAGGATTATGATGATGATTATTTGAATTTTGCTATATCATTAGTAGATTCCAGTATTATCTCACTTCCAACTAAAATTAATAGTTTTGAAGAACTTCGTAATGCACTTAAAGAGGATATTTCTTTTACAGTATTTAAATGTACAAATAAAAGGTTATTAGAATCATTAAAATATATTCCTGAAAAAGAAGGTGTAAATACTTCAGAATTTATTTCAGATTTTCGTAAATTATGTTACGATTCTGAAATTAATGATAGAAGAACAAAAAAATTATTTTAGTAATGCACTTTATAATAATGATCGTTATAGTTATCTTTCGGAATTTATTAATAGAAGAAAAAAAATTAAATCAATAAATGATTTAATTAAAGAATTTACAGAAATTATTGCAGATGAATTAAATTTAATTAGAAATGAATCTATTATAGCTTTAAAGCATGTTGCTACAGGGAAATATTTAAGTTCAATTGAAGATTTGTGTTATACAACTGGAAGCGGGCTTCAACTGGTATATATATTATTTACACATTTCTTTTTTATTTCATTGATAATTAACTTTTATTCAATTATTTAAGGTTTTTGCAGGCAGTTCAGAGCCTGATCTAAATTCTTTATGGATAATTAAATTTAGAGGAGAATCTGCTATATATAATGGAACTTTAATAGAATTGCAACATATTGAATCCGGCCGTAATCTTGGATTATGTTATTTTGCCCCAAAAGTTCATACTTATTACAAATCTCCGATAACTGAACATACAGAAGGTAATAATAAAGTTGAAAGTTTATTACTTAATTTATTATCTTAATTAAAGTATTCATTATTATTTTTTTTCTAGTATATTGTGGCAAAGATGATTATTGTGAGTGGCATTTTAAACACAGTAACTGAAATCGGAAAATCATGAAGGATATTTAAAATCATATGATACTATTAATCTTGCCATGAAGAAAACGTATGATAGTGAAGAGGTATTTTTACGTAGCCATGATGTTCGATTTACTATTGGGAACGATACTTTTCAAGAAGTTGTTTGTCATAATGAAAATTTAGGAGGAAATGATGAAGTAAGTTATTTTGTTTTGTATTTGAAATGTTCAATAAATAAACATTTATTTATTATCTTTTATTTTTGTTAGTGGCGCATTGAACTTATTTGTAAGAATAAATTAGGATATGAGTTGTAATTGATAAGGTTCCTTTAATTTGATTTTTGTAACTAATGCTAGATTCAGTTTTCAAAGAAATGTAATATTGATTTTGTCGATTATACGTACATATGCATACCTTTTTACTGCAAAATTAATGAATATTCTTTAGCAGGAAGTATTGTAATAAATAACAAAACAGTTGTTCATTCGTCAAATAAAAAAAAATAAATAATATCAGGTGTGAAATGTCACGTGAATATTTTCATTTGTCCTGCTGCGTCACATCAATAACCAATAAACAAGTTCGAATTAATATCATTTATTATTATCATAAAATTTACTTTAGAGTTACAATGTGCTTATATTTAGAATTTCAATTTCAAGTTGATAAAACTATAGAATTTAAAAATTGCTTTGATTACTTAATATATTTCTAGTGATGTTAATTTTCATCAAAGAATTTTCGGTTTCAATTTTTACTTGTTTCTTCTATTGTAATTAAATAAAAAAAATAATTACTTGGGTGGGACACTTAACAAATTTTAAAGAACTCGGAAATATTCGGTAAAGCTCAAAATAAGGTAAAATTATACCACCATTCTCGGAATATTGATCCAAAATTAGCGTATAATTTTTTATTTTATATCAAGCTTTACCGAATATTTCCGAGTTCTTTAAAATTTGTTAAGTGTCCCAACCTTTTTGAAATCAGCTGTAAATTTCAAATTTCGCTTTAGCATTACATTTTATTTCGCCACAAAATTTTATTATACTTTAAACTATTAAATAAAATAATTTAATGTGATTTTTTTTTACACATTTATGATTTGGAATAACGCTTCAAAGTTTATAATGTGATATCATGATCGGCAAATGGTCGGCACGTGATAATAATCACCGTCCTGTTACTTATAGAGCAAGAAATAACATTTTCGCTAAATATTTTAGTTAAGACGATTTTAATTTAATTATATGCTTCAGCAAGTAATTGTTGAATTGTTTCATCACTTGGAAATCGATAATTTGGGTCAAATTCATGAATGAATTCGCCAAACCCTTCATTGGTCGATCAAGATTCCAACAAATTTTCAGTCTCGGTTATTTTTAATATCTGGATTATCCCGTGCGTATTATTTCATCTATATGAAGCTGTGATAACTGTCCATTATTTTGTACCTCATTCATCTTTCTTTTATGACTTTCTTCAGTAATTCGATGTGTAGCAAGATGAGCAATAAAATTGCTAGTGGAATTATCAGAACCCATAAAATGTTCACATTATTCTGCACCATTCTTTCGTTGAACTTGAGCTAAACACCTTACTATTCTTTTGTATTGTCCAACTAGCTTTTACTGATCTAAATATCCCCATATCCAACTTTGCCCTGGTGGTTTTGCGTTTGGAATTAATACTAGCCTTACTAGCCTGGCTGGTTATTTTATTTAACTCAAATTTTAATTTTTTCCAAGTTTTTATTGTTTTATTGTACTTTCTACTATTAGCTATCTGCTAGCTACTTGTATCAGTACCAGATTATAACTCAATTACATGTGAAATTGGTTTTTTTCACTTTAATAGTAAGCTCTTTGATCCACTAGCTTCAGAGCTCGAAGCTTCTTCAACTTCAAGGTCTTCTAACCACGGAATTTCTTCAGACTTATCACTAGACATCTTTTTTCTAGTCACAGTCACGCAAAGCAGCAAAGTCAAATAACGCGTTTTAGATATCGTAATTTTTTTATCCGTCATACAAAACTGACATCCGGATACCTGCTGGATATCCAGATAATGCATCCACGGATCAGACCTCTAGATAAGAGAAAAATAATAAGCTTTTTCCTGAAAAAATTATTTTTGAGGATGGGACAGATAAGGGAACCTCTCTAGCACTTTATTAATTTTCTTCTCTTCTGGATCGTCAGAGTTAAAGATGCTACGTGATGGTTCCGAATTTTTCTTAGCACGTGGATCAGGATGTGACAATTCGGAATTTTTTCATCACTTAGCTGACGCTAATAACAATAGTCCGAAATTTTAAATTTTATTTATTTATATTGTGTAACTTATTTTTAAAGTACTTTGTTAAAATATAATTATTGTATTACATGGAATTTTTGTGGATTTCCATGGAATGTTGTAAAATCCATAAAAATTACATGAAAACTAGTCCGAAATTTTATGTTTTTATTATTGCTACTTATTAAAATTGCTCTATCACTTTATCAGTTTAATTACTCTTTTTACTATTCAATTTACAATTTATAAAATTTGAAGTCATATAATATTAGTGTGGTTTCTAGGTGGCAGACACCATACTTCTATAATATACTACGTTATTAAACATGATTCATTTTGTGTATGAGCATGAACGAAGAGAAAAATTGCAGCAATATATTGTATCTTTATTATGAATTATTTTCATTTGAATTAATTACATGAGAAACATAATATAATCTGCTAGTTATATTCACACCGTTTTTTTGATAAATTAACTAAACATATTGGTTTATAAGTATATCATTAAAATATAAAGATGCGCCACAACTAAGAATGATATGATTGTTCCACTCCACCTTGTACCATCGTACATTATTAAAACCTACGCCAACTCTCCAATGCCCAAGATGACCTGAAAATATTCATAGACTATTAATGAAAAAAAACCAAATTACAGTTTTAGAAGCAAAACTAGTAAATTACCTTGATCCATAAGTTTGGGGGGTGGGCATCTATGAACAATCGGTTTCATTCTTCGCGAGCGTTGGTTTATGGCGTCATCCACCAATGTCCGGACGATACCTATTATTATTAGCTATGCATATAACTTCACTGCAAACCCACCAGCCTCATTTTTGTTGCTGAATTGAGCTTTGTAATGCGAGATGTACATCTACTTTAACTCCACAATCAAGTTAATCCATATAAAAAATAAGTAAGAAGTTGAATGAAACAGGATTGTATGTTAGAATATACTTACTTTGAAGATGAGTATGTCATTTATTCTTTCTGCTTTAAAAACGTTGTGGATGGTTTTAAGAACGTCCATATTTTGAATTTTATATGGTAATTCTACTTCTACAAGATCTGTGTATCCTTCAGTATCTCCATTTTCGTCAGAATCTGTATTTTCTTCATATTCATTAGACTCGGCTTCATTTTCGTCAGAGTCTGTACTTTCTCCATCTCTGTTAGACTCAGCTTCAAACTTGGCTATTTTTTCTTCATACCTTCACTTTATTTCTGCGATAAGCTGAGAGTTTTGTAGAATAGTTAGTCATATTCATTTTTGATCAATATTAGAAAAGATACTTTTTTGGCAATTATACCATGATTAGTTTTTTTCCAAAATTCATTTTCCACGTTATAATAATATTATTTTAGTTAAAGAGTTAATATAAGATTATAGTATGCCAACATGTGTGTATCTAATTGGCTAATATGTAAATCAAATGCCTTGAATAATATTTCTATAAAACTTTTAAAATGTTGCAAAGCTTCTTTAATAATTCATTGTATATTTACTATAATTTTTAATATAGTGACTAATGAAACGGGTTAAGAGTATTACAAGTGTATAATATGTAAAATAGATATCATTCAGTGATATCAAATGATGAAAATCATGCATCGGAACTCCAAATTGTGATTATAATCGCAACCATCAGTTTACTAATAATGACTCACTGACTCAGCCGCAACAAATTTTCCCATTAAATATTTCTTATAAAAAATCATTTTTTTTCTACACAAAATTCTTTTACACTTTTGTACTCGTATTTTTCTTTCAATACTTGTAATTTTTTTTAAAATGATATAAATATTCCTTCTTTAATATTTATTATAACGTAGATTTTTTTTTATTAACCTATCGTTCAAAAACACGTAAAACACGTAAATATCTTACGTCTTCGTCCACTCATATTCAAGCTATTTTCATCTATTAACTCCTATCTAGAATAATATTATTAAAAAAATATTGTAAACAACCTAATTAAAGGTGTCGTGAGTTGTGGATAGTTATGAACAGTTATTCAGCATGTCTTTTTTCTTAAAAACAGAAAAAGAAAATTAAAATGAACATCATGATATTTTCTATTATTCGGGTAAGTGGAAATGGCTAAGCTGGGATGTACAAGGGACTAGTGCACCTAGTGTGCTTTGGTTATCCTCCTCTTCTAGTAGTCTGGTTACCTTTAATGAGAAAATAATATTTCAAGCTATGTCGCAGACTTCTGTATGTGGGGCCCGTCCCTTTGGTGGTGGGTCTCATGTCTTATTATCAATATGACAGTACCTCTGCACGAGTTTGATCACTCACGATATACGTTAATGTCAGTTGATAGTAGGCATGGGGGCTTGAATCTGTCATTTCTGTGAAGCTTACTTAGAGTACTCGAGTCTTCTAACTATTTTATTATATATTTTTATATTTTTAGATTTCATTCTCTCCTGTTGAATTCACCTTTACTTTACAGTAAGAATTGGTATGTTATAGGATTATTCTTGTTATTTGCTTTAACCAATTTATTTCTAGTATTCACAATAATTGATAGTTAAACTTTCATTAACATTTAAAATATTTATTATTAAATTTTATAAAGTCATAATATACAAAGCTATTTATTAAATTTATAAATTATTTATAAAATAGAAATGATAAATTTAAATAGCAATAGTTTAATTTAATTGCACTATTTTTATTTACCAAATGTATTAAATAAATTAGAGATGAAAATTTGAAGTTAAGATGACGATTTTTTTTATGTTGATTAATCATTTTTTTAAACAATTTTTTTAGAGTTTTAGAGTACACAATTATTTTATTTTTCACTTATTCATTTTTTATTAGTAAATTAACGAGATTTCTTATTTAACATATAAGTTTTGCTTTTAACAGTGATAACATTAATACTTAAATAACTCATTATAAGAAATTCAAATATAATTACTTCTTATAAATTTAAACAAAAATGTATATTCCTCAATCTCAGACAATAGAAAAAAATCCAGAAATTATTTCTGTTTCCTTCCATTTTATAGTACGTAAAAAGGTCATTGTTCTACTGCACACACTTTTAAGCTGTGAACGCTCAATTTTATTGACATATTGACATAAAGTTAAGGCATATGGCCCAGAAATTTCTTTATTATGCAAATATGCAATGCAAAGTACAACAATTATTTATATGTTATTTGCTGTCAAATGTCAAATAATGATCATTTCTTGAAGTTATCGAAGGATACGCAATGTGCTAATAAAATGGTTTGTTATCTGTCTACTCAATAATATGTCCATTACTCTTTTGAAAACCCCACACTTATATATTTATATTACTAGAAAAATCATATAATTATAATACGAAATGTCAAAATAAATGGTGTAAATCATTTAAACTTCCATCGTTTAAAGGATAAATATTTAATTTTTCAAAACAATAACTTTGATTTATAGTAAAATTATTTTTATCTGACTAATTTTATCATTTTTTTCAAAATAATTGAAATAATATTGCTTTTTACTACCAGCTAATTATAAAAAGCTCACTTCAATTATTACCCCATTCTGGTTATTATAATATATCTGGAAATTCAAACATACATAAAAGACAGTATCTAATAAAACTCAAAATATACGTAAAAAGGTCAGGTTCAAGTTTTTTGCGTACGACTAACCATATGTATTTCATAGTTCTATCTAATATTTTAGTGTATACTAGTAGAAGTTATTTTTTTTAAGTGAATAATATTTATAATCCCCTGTCGCACTAAGTGTCACCTTCATACTAATTTTTAAAAATTGCGAGTGATTAGCTGAGTTTATAAATAACCGTATACTTATTTCCCGGCCTCATATAGATAACCGGGAAATTACTAATTTTAGTTTAAAATGGTTAAGTTTAAAATAGTTAATATTTAATGAGTGATACGTTCCAGGGGATTACCCATTTATTTCATGGGAAGGGAACATTAGGGGTTTTGTTCCTTCGGAAGAAAAACCCTATTATTCCCAACTCCCCATGAAATAAATAATACAAATATCATGAAAGAAGTGAACTTTTTTTTTTTTGAAGATGATGTTTGTGAGAATATTGTTTATTAATCATCTCAAATATACAATATAACAACTCAAAATGTTGATACTTACGACTTTTTAATAATTTATGATATTTGTGATAAACATTTTTCGATCATCGGATAATTGTCATAAATTATGGAAATAGAAAATAAAGTGATGAAATTGAGTTGCAATTAGAGTTGAAATTTTGTTGAAGTTTCAGATGTTATAAAACAATCTAGTTGTTAAACAATTTATAATTTCTTTCTCTTATAGCGTAACACTTTTGAAAAGATTAAATTAAATTTTTTTTAAATAAAGCTCTAAATTTTATATTAGACGTATTATTAACTGCTCTAAAAGCTTGTTTAAGAGTTTGGAAGGAGATCTTAATACTGGTTTTGACTATCATATTATATGTATAAAAAAGTAATATTATCGTCTTTACCGGTCATTTTAAGGTGGTTTTAACGAAAAAACTAAGTATACTTAAAGACCTTTAGAAGTCATATCGTGATTTTGCTGCGCCAAAATGAGGCTTGATAGCTGAATTTGTTTTGTCATACATGCAGTGCTCGATCAAGATTTGCATTTTGCGTATACATTACACAAACAACCATATATAAACCCTCCTTATTTAATTAAAAAAAAATTATTTCCGTTATCCTTTTTAGTTAGGGAGAATAATGGCTCACAGTAATAATGAAGGTAAAAAGCATATAGTATGAGTATTTAATATAAATTAGAATTATTCTAAATTTTCTAATCAAATTGCAATAAGTTTTAAGTACCGAGGAAATTAAAGGTAATTATAATATATTAAATTGTAAATAATTTAAATATTATAATTGTATATTATGCAATAATTTAATATTAATTATATCAAATAATTTATTTAGTTTGTAAGTTAATAGAGTTATCTTATAATTGAATAATAATGGAATTACTTATTTTTGTTATATTCTAATGTAACTAAATAATTAATGATTAATAATACTATAGTTAGTAAGTATCAGCTGTTTAATTTTTTTATTTTAATTTACACAATATTTAAATAACTAAATTTTTTTGAATAACTATTAATAATTAATTATATTACAGAAGGTAAGTTTCAATTTATAATAATATTATATTTATTTGTTTAATATTTTATATAATTCAACTAATTATATATTCTTTACTTAAATGATAAGATTGTGAGTAATATATCTGATTCATAATATAGTTTTGTATCATATTTAATCCTACTAACAAATTAATAATAATTAATAATACTACAGGGTGTAAGTTATATGTTATTAATATTTTTATCATTATATAATTTAAACTGACTGAATTCTTTATTTAAAAATTTTTTGGTAATTTCTTTTAGTTGGTAAGTTATAAGTTTATTTATTAAATTCTATTATTATAAATTTATATAATATTTAAACAAACAAACTAAATTCTTTATTTAAAAAATTATTTAAAATATAGAGAGTGAGTTATTTATTTAATTCTATTATTATATATTCATATATTATTTATGTATAATTTAAACTAACCAAATTATTTATTTTAATAATATAGGAAGTAAGTTATTTATTTAATTCTATTATTACATATTTATAATAATTGCATATGATTAAAATAACTAATTCTTCATTTAAAAAATTATTTAATAATATAGGGGGTAAGTTATTTATTTAATTATACAATTACATATTTTATATAATTTAAATTAACTGAATCCTTTTTAATAAAATAGATTGTAAGTTATTTATTTAATTCTATTATTATATGTTTATATACAATTTAAACTAACGAATTCTGTATTTTATAGATCGTAAGTTATAAGTTATTTATTTAATTCTATTATTACATATTTATATAATACAGTGAACATCTCTCTAAGTGCACCCCTTGGGACCATAGTAAAAAAATAGTAGAATGTGCTCTTAGAGAGGGTGTGCATTTATAAAGAGTAAAATATTAAGAGCTTTTATAAGTTGGGACCAGTCAAACCATGCACTTAAAGAGAATTTATATAGTGCATGCACTTATAGAGAGTGCACTCATAGAGGTGTCGCTGTATTTGCATTTAATTTAAATTAACCCAATTGGCCAATTCTTTATTTAAAAAATTATTCAATAATAATATAGGGAGTAAGTTATTTATTAATTCTGATTACATATTTGTTATATTTACATATGATTTAACTAATTCTTTATTTGAAAAACCACAAATTATTTTATAATTTAGGTAGTAAGTTATTTATATAATGCTATTTGCAAGTAATTTAACTAATTATTAAAAAATATTGGTAAATTATTTTAGATGGTAAGTTATAACTTATTTATTTAATTTTATTTTTATTAGGGTTGCAGACATTAGAACATAAACTAATATAAGTCAAGACGTAACTGAGTAGTTACCCAAAATTTATATGACGTAACTGGGTAGTTATCCTTAACAGAAGAAATGTCTGCAACCAAAATTTTTATATATTTATATTATATTTAAACTAACTAAATTCTTTATATTATAGATTGTAAGTTATTTATTTATATCCTATTATGCTTTTACTTCAAATCACCGGGGATGATCATCACCTTTGGCCAGAATTATCAATTTTTACTGGCACTATATTTTTTTAATGCTGGTGATCATCATAATTTCAGTCACCGGTGATCATCACCCCGGTGATAGTTAGAAAAATTCTTCTATTATTATATATTTGTGATATATTTACATATAATTTAAGCTAATTAAATTCTTTATTTGAAAAATTATAGATCGTAAGTTATCTATTTAATTCCATTACTATTTATTCCATTATATATAATTTAAACTAAATTTTGCTAATTTCTTTTAGATTGTAAGTTATAAGTTATTTATTTGATTTCATTATTATTTACTATTTATATATTATTAAAATTGAATTCTCTATTTAAAAATTATTTGCTAATTTCTTTAAGATGGTAAGTTAATAAGTTATTTATTTAAATTTATTATTACATATTTATATTATAATTAAAACTAAATTCTTTATTTAAAAAATTATTTGCTAATTTCTTTTAGATCATGGTAATAATTTATTTAATTTCATATTTTCATTATTGCATATTGTATTTATATAATATTACATGTAATTTAAACTAAATTCATTATTTGATAATTTCTTTTAGATGGTAAGTTAATAGATTATTTATTTAATTTATTATTGCATATTTATACAATATTTAAGCTAAATTCTTTATTTAAAAATTATTGATAATTTATTTTAGAAAGTAAGTTGTAAGTTATTTACTATTTTATTTAATTATATTATTACATATTTTTGTATAATTAAATTAATTAAATTCTTTATTTTAATAATATAGGTTGTAAATTGTTTATTTAATTCTATTATTATATGTTTATAATTTATTTACATATAATTTAAACTAATTAAATTCTTTATTTAAATATTATTTAATAAATAGAAAGTAAGTTATTTATTAAATTCTACTATTAAATATTTATATATAATATTTATAATATTTACATATAATTTAACTAATTAAATTCTTTATTAAAAAATTATTTAATAAATAGGGAGTAAGTTATTTATTTAATTCTATCTATTATTAGTACATATTTATATAATATTACATATAATTTAAACTAACTAAATTATTATTATATATTTATATATAATACTAAATTCAATTTTTAATAATATAGTTTGTAAGTTATTTATTTAATTTTATTATTATATATTATATAATTTAAATTAATTAAAATTCTTTATTTAAAAAAATTATTTAAAATACAGGTTGTAAGTTTAGTTATTTATTTAATTTTATTAATATTACATATTTATAATATATTTATATATAATTTAACTAATTTAATTATTTATATTTAATAATATAGCTTGTAAGTTATTTATTTAGTATATTTATATAATGTCTACTTATATAGTAATTTACATAATTTAAACTAAACTATATTCTTCATTTAAAAAATTATTTAATAATATAGTTTGTAAGTTATTTATTTAATTTATTATTACATATCAATAATATATTTATATAAAATTTAAATTAACTAAATTCATTATTTAATTAATAATATAGCTGGTAAGTAATTTATTTAATATATTTACAGTATATTATATTAGCATGTATCAAATTTAAATTAACTAAATCCTTTATTTTAAATAATATAGGCTGTAAGTTATTTATTTAATTCTATTGTTATATATTTATAATATACATAAACTAATTAAATTCTTTAATTTAAAAATATAGGGGGTGAGTTATTTATTTAAATTTATTATTATACATTATATTTATTATATTGTATTGTAAATTAAACTAACTAAATCCATATCATTATTTAAAAATTATTTAATAACTGATAATATAGTTTGTAAGTTATTTATTTAATTATATTATTATACATTTGTATATAGTATTTGATATAATTTAAGCTAATTAAATTTTTTATTTAATTTGGTAATATAGTTTGTAAGTTTATATTTAATTAACTCTTTAACAAAATATTTTATTTATAATTTAAACTTATTAAATTTTTTATTTTAAAAAATTATTTATAATATAGTAAGTAAGTTATTTTAATACCATTATTACATAATTATGTAATATTTATAAACAATTTAAACAAAAAAAATCCTTTATTTAAAAAATTATTTGGTAATTTCTTTAGTTGGTAAGTTATAAGATATTGATATAGGGAGTTGTAAGTTATTATCTGATTTTATTTTTATATATTTATATCATACTAAATTTTTTATTTAAAAATTATTTAATAATGTAGTGTATTGTAAGTTATTATTTAATTTTGTGATTTTATTATTATTATTTATTAATATAATTCAAATTAACTAAATTTTTTATTAAAAAATTATTTAATAATATATAGCAATTAGTAAGTTATTTAATTTTATTATTACATATTATTTATTTATAATATATTTGCATATAATTAAACTAACAAAATTCTTTGTTTAAAAAATAATTTGGTAATTTTATTTAGTTCGTAAGTTATAAATTATTTATTTAATTCTATTATTAGTTTCATTATTATTAAACAAACTAAATTCTTTATTTAATTTAATAATATAGTTTGTAAGTTATTTGTTTGAGTTTATTTAATACTTACATAAAATTTAAACTGACTAAATTCTTTAATTAAAAATCATTTAAATAATATAGTTTGTAAGTTATTTATTTAATTTTATTATTATATATTTTTGTATAATTTATGCTAATTAAATTCTATTTGAAAAAATCTTTAATAATATAGCTAGTAAGTTGTTTATTTTAATTCTATTATTTTATATTTGTAATATATTTAATCTAACTAAATTCTTTATTTAATAATATAGTTTGTAAGTTGTTTATTTATTTCTATTATAACATAATTATAATATATTTATATATATATAACAAACTAAATTCTTTATTTAATTTAATAATATAGATTGTAAGTTGTTTATTTTACTCTATTATTTATTAAATATGTTTACATATATTTAAACTAACTAAATTTTAATTATATAGATTGTAAGTTATTAATTTAATTCTATTAATATATATTTATGAATATTCATGTATAATTTAAATTAACTAAATTTTTTATTTAAAAAATATTTAATATAGTCTGTAAGTTGTTTTTTTTAATTCTATTATAATATATTTACATATAATTAAAACTAACTAAATTCTTATTTAAAAAAAATTATTTAATAATATAGTTTGTAAGTTGTTTATTTAATTCTATTCTTACATAATTACAATATATTTACATATAATTTAAACTAACTAAATTCTTTACTTAATTTAATAATATAGATTGTAAGTTTTCCATTATTATATAATATTGTGATTTACATAATTTAAACTAACTAAATTTTTATTTAAAAAATTACTTTATAATATAGTTGGTAAGTTATATTTATAAAATGCTCATATTATTTAAACTGACTAATTCTTTATTTAAAAATTGTTTAATAATGTAGTTTGTAAGTTATTTATTCAATTTTATTATTACATTTTTATATGATATTTACATATAATTTAAACTAACTAAATTCTTTATTTTTGGTAATTTCTTATAGTTAGTAAGTTATTTATTTAATCCTATCATTACATAATTATATATGATTTAAACCAACTAAATTATTTATCTTAAAAAAAATTATTTAACAAATATAGAGAGTAAGTCATTAATTTAATTTACTGTATTACTACATATTTATATAATATTTACACTAAATTATTTATCTTAAAAATTATTTAACAATATAGAGGGTAAGTCATTAATTTAATTTTATTATTACATATTTATATAATATTTACACTAAATTTTTTTTAAAAAATTATTAATAACCTAGAATGTAAGTTATTTATCTAATTTTATTATGATAGATTTATACATATAAGTTAAACTAAATTATTTTATAACATATAGGGAGTAAGTTATTTATTTGATTTCACTATTGCATATTTATATTATATTTGCATTATATTTGCATATAATTTAATTAAATTTCAACAAATAATTAAATAATATAGCTTGTAAGTTATTCATTTAATTCTATTATTGTATTTATATTTACTTATAAACTAACTAAATTCTTTATTTATAAAAATTATTTAATGAATAGTTAGTAAGTTGTTTAATTCTATTATTGTATATTTATAATATTTATATATAATTTAAACCAACAAATTTGCTAATTGTTTTTTGAAAAAAATTATTCAATAATATAGTTCGTAAGTTGTTAATTTAATTATTATTGCTTATTTATTTAATATTTATGTATAATTTAAACTAAATGAATTCTTTATTTAAAAAATTATGAATGATTTATTTTAGTTGGTAAGTTATAAGTTATTTATTTAATTCTATTATTATATATTTACAATGTATATATAATTTATACTAAATTCATTTAAAAATTACTTAATAATATTAGGGTCTGGTAAGTTATTTAATTCTATTATTACATATTATTTATTTATATATAATTTAAACTAACTAAATTCTTTGTTTAAAAAAACTATTTGACAATTTTATTTTAGCGTGTAAGTTATAAGTCATTTATTAATGATTCAGTCTATTATTATACATAATTTAAACTTACTAAATTCTTTATTTTGGTGATTTATTTTAGTTGGTAAGTTATTATTTAATTATTTAATTTATTATTATCAGTGTATGAAATCTATTTGTGGAATTTGTAGAGTGCACATTATGCAACTTTCAATTTAAAAATATTAACATATCTGTGCACAAAATCAAGTTTATTTTCAACAAATTGCATGCAACTTTTTTTTATATGCAATAACTATTTTACTTGAATTTCATATGCTGATTATTATACATAATTTAAATTGACTAAATTTTTTATTTAAAAATTTATTTGATAACCTAGAATGTAAGTTATTTATTTAATTTTATTATTATATATTTATAATATATTTACTAAATTCTTTATCTAAAAAAATTATTTAATAATATAGATTGTAAGTTATTCAATTTTTTATTACATATTTATATATATACTAGTAATTTGACTAAGTGAATTAATTCTTAGTTATTTGGTAATTTTTTAGATGGCAAGTTATAAGTTATTTTTTTGGTTCTATTATTATATGTATATAATATATATATATATAATTCAAACTAATTAAAGTCTTTATTTAAAAATAATTTAATAATATAGTTTGTAGGTTATTTATTTAATTTTATTATATATATTTATATTTGCATATGATTTAAGCTAACAAAATTCTTTATTTAAAATTTTATTTGGTAATTCCTTTTTTTAGATGGTAAGTTATAAGTTATTTATTTAATTGTATTATTATATATCTATGTATAATTTAAATTAATTAAATTGTTTATCTAAAAAAATATTTAATAATACAGATAGTAAGTTATTTATTTAATTTTATTATTATATTATATTTGCATATAATTTGTTAACTAAATTCTTTATTTGAAAAAATTATTAGGATGTAAGTTATGTATTTAATTTTATTATTGTATATTTATATAATATTTACATAATATAATTCAAATTAACTAAATTTTTTACTTAAAAAATTATTTAATAATATAGGGCGTTGTAAGTTATCATCTGATCTTATTATTATGTTTCTGTATAATCTAACTAAAAATTTTTATTTAAAAAATTATTTAATAACATAGCATCTTGTAAGTTATTATTTTATTTTATTATTATTTATTTATATCATTCAAATTAATTAAATTTTTATTTAAAAAATTATTTAATAATACAGATAGCAGTAAGTTATTATTTAACTTTATTATTATATATTTATATAAATCAAAGCTAACTAAATTTTTTAAATTATTTAATAATATAGAGTATAGTAAGTTGTTATTTGATTTTTATTATATATTTATATAATATGTACTGTATATAATTAAAGCTAACTATATTCCTCGTTTAAAAATAATTGTTAGAGTGTAAGTTATTTATTTCTACTATTATTATATATTTATATTATGTTCACATATATTTTAAACTAACTAAATTCCTTATTTTAAAATAAAATTATTAGGGTGTAAGTTATTTATTTAATTTTATTGTTATATATTTATATAATGTTTATATAATTTAAACTACTAACTAAACTCTTTATTTAAAAAATTATTTAATAATATAGCATGTAAGTTATTAGTTATTTCTTTTAGTATATATATTTATAAATTTATTTTAGCTATAATTTTAGTTAACTGAATTTTTATTTGAAAAACCATCTGTTATTTTAGTTGGTAAGTTATTAAATATAGGTTATTCTATATATATGTACAAAAACTAAATTTATATTTTATTAAATCCCTGTTTAAATTTTAGAGTAAGTATTAATATTAATTTTTTCTAATTATAAACTTTGATAATTAACTTTAATATAATTTTAATTATTTAAATTTATAGATTTGGAAGAAGTGGAGAAATGATTTTGGATAGATTTATTTGTGATAGAAATTTAAAATGGATTCCTTATGATCAATTTACAAATATTAAATATTTTGATAAGGGAGGATTTAGTGTTATATACAAAGCTAATTGGTTAAATAATGAAAATAAAGAAATAATTTTCAAATGTTATAATAATTTAAGCGAAAATTTAAATGAATTCTTAAATGAAGTATGAATAGCATATTATTTACTTATTTTTAATCTAAATTATAATTTATTTATACTAATATTATATTATTATTTTTTATAGTGGGAATATCATAAACGTTGTTTAAATTCAATTGATATTATTAAATTTTATGGATTTACAAGAAATCCAGATACTTTGAATTATATGGTGGTAATAGATTATGCGAACAAAGGTAATTTGAGAGGAAATTTAACAAAAATAATCAAAAAAAATTGGAAACAAAAATTACATAAGTTATACGAAATTATTTCTGGACTTAGTAAGATACATAGAGAAGATCTTATTCATTGTGATTTTCATGATGGTAATATTTTAATTCATGTGGAAAGTGATGAAGATAAAATTTTTATTAGTGATTTAGGATTATGTCGACCTGTAAAATCATTTTTGAAAAAAGATGATATTTATGGTGTTATACCATTTATGGCACCTGAAATTTTAAGAGGCAAATCTTATACTCCAGCTAGTGATATATATAGTTTTTCTATGATTATGTGGGAATTTACATCCGGAGTACCACCATTCAATAATAGAGCACATGATATTCAACTTAGTATAAGTATTTGTAAAGGTGAGCGCCCTGAAATTATCGAAAATACTCCACAATGTTACGTAGATTTGATGAAAATGTGTTGGAATGAAGATCCATTAAAAAGGCCATCTTCTAGAGAAGTTTTAGATATTGTTGGAGAATGGATTTTTTTTCCTGAAAATGGTATAATGAATAAAGGATTAAAATCTAACGTTATGGAATTTATAAATGCACCAATTGGGCCTAACAATCTCGCTACTGAATCTCATCCACAAGTATATTATATAAGTCGCTTACTTAATTTTAGTAGTAAAGAATTGAACGAAACTCTTAAAAGTAAAGATTTACAAACATATTATGCAAGTCATTCTACTAGTGGAAAAGTGGATGAAATGCTGATAAGTTTTGAAAGTGAAGATTTACAATCATATTATGCAAGTCAATCTACTAGTGGAAAAGTGAATGAAATACCAGTTAGTGAAGATTTAGATGATTGTATAATTATAGACATAAATGATTAGGTAAGTGATATATACAAAAAAAGTAATTTTGCAAATTATTTATGAGGAATTAATTTTATTTATTTAATTATTTAGATTTTAAAAAAGTTCTATATTTTTGATATTATGCATTTAGCAAAAACCGTTCTTTGATTTTTGATTCATTCTTTTTTTGATTTATTTAAACACTAAGCCTAGAGTAGTAAAATATTTACAAGTTTCTTAGTTTGTAATTTAAATAATTCCTTTATTTTATAGCTTATCCAGATATTAAATATATGTATTCTCTTTTTTTTATTTTTTTTTAAAATTATTTAAACACTAAAACTAGAGTAGTAAATATTTTACAAGTTTCTTAGTTTGTAATTTAAATAAATCTTTTTTTTTTATTGTAACTTATTCAATTATTAAATTTATTAAATATAAACATATAAAATCATTTCCAATATGTGAAATCATTCTTTTATACACATTAAAGTAATTAAAATTTCATTAAGCTCAAAATTTTTAAATCAAGTAAAAATCTTCTCTTGAATTCGTAAATTATGACAAATTTAACTAGATGGGAATAAATTTATCATTTTGGTTTCAGTTTACGAGCCAGAGCGATAGAACTGACTCCGAAAACCGAAAATCACTTCAGAGCGGAGTTTAGAACTGAACTGATTGAGCCAGTTTTGATATTATAAATCTTACTGGTAAAAATTATTAACTTTTAAAAATTATCTAAAATAAATTAACCTAACTATTGTAAAGTTTGTTTAATTTTTTATTTAAATTATTTTAAAAAAAAGAATAATTGTTTTATTAGAACAAAAGAATTATCAATTGAAATAAATTAACTAAATTATAATCTTTTTTATATTGTTAATAATTAATCTTACTATTCTAATCTTAGTGTTGAAGATAATTATTCGGTATCTAAATGTTTTTGAAAAAATTCTTTATCATTTGCATCAGTAATTCCGATCAAATATTAGGATTATTGTGATTTTCATAAAAAAAAAAAAATGTCTCGTTGTGAATTGTTTTGCAATATTAATAGTGTTATTAATTGTTATTGTTTATTGTTTACCATTGCTATTTGGTATTTGTCACTGATTTAAGCAAAGAAAGAAAAATCAATGCTTATTTAATATAGCAAAGGATTTGGTTGCATTATATAGAAAATTTTAATTCGGATTTAGCTGCATTGTACAATGAGTGATTAGAAATTGATGACAATATTGACGACTTACAAGCAATGATGATACTGTTACTATCGATTGGCATCAAAGTCACGTGATGTTAACAGACGAATAGTTTAAGATAGACGCAAAATTTAAAGTGTATGGGTGAAAATTAAAGTGTATACTTTATTTAAATAAAACAATAAGAAATGTACAACAAATAATAAAATTAAATGCTAATTGAAACAAAATCATCAATAAATCTTAAATGAAACTAACAATATTTCTGCCTCACTCCACGATCTGACAATATTACAATACGAAACTACTATTACTAAAATTAAACTAAAATTATCTAATAAATAATACCAAAAATTCCTTTCTTTTTCGCATCGTTTAGCGAGTTTTTATATATTGATTCTTTGGTGGGTATAACTTATACTTAGTGTAAATTATACTAAGTATAAGTTATCCAAAGTATGTTATACTAACAAATTGCCGACCGAGTTTCGTATACACACCATCGTCAAATGATCTGCGTAACAATAACATTATGCAGCGTTCATGAAGTATCTTAATTTTTTATAAATCTAAAATATCTGATATTATTTAAATACTAAATAAATGTTAGTAAAAGATTTCTTGAAAACAAGCCATTGAATAATTCTAGCCAATTAATAAAATAAAATAATTCTGCAATCAAAAAATCAAAAATCAAAAAAGAATCACGTCGGCCTTTAAAAATCTATTCCGTTTTTCGGTTTAATTCTGTTATTTTATTGGTTTATTTAAGATAGGCTATCACGTGAGCTTTTAATTCATTATTGATAAACACGTGAAATTGAACATTTTTATATTTTTTTCGTCATAATATGATCACATAATAATGATAGTATGATATTTATTGTATTACATAATTGGTATTTATTGCGCCACATAGTATGATAGTTATTATTAACAATCAACGTAACTTCATTTAGGTTTCTTTTTTCAGCCTGATTGTAACGGCATTTCTTTGTAAATATACATAAAATACAAATTACCTGATAAAGTTAAGAAATACATGGGGCCAGGAGTAAAAACTCAAGAAGCTCTATAACTAATTAGTTATTAAAGCATCTATATCTAAGTTATCTATTAAACTAATCTATAAATGCCAAATCTGTTCGATATTTTTGCCTTTATTTTCTATCATCCGGTCAAGCGTTAATAATTTTACTAATTGTTTTGGTTTTTTCTTTTTATAATTATTTTCTTGATTTTTTTGTTCGTTATTTTCTATATTTTTATTTTTATCCTTTGCATGTATATTTTTCTTTTTTTCTAGATCTATAACCCTATTACAACGTTCTTTCAATAAATTATGTTTAAAACTATCATAACAACGCGTCCAAATATATTTAACCAAGAATCTCACTTCCGAATTATTACCTATTTGAATAAATTTGTTATTATATAACCCTCTAATCAATTCTCATACTTTCGTCCTTCCTCTAAATATTTTTGAATAATCATATAGTATTTGAACAAATTCTATATTTGACATTATCGACATTAAATTATATTCGCAAATCCATATACATATGATACCAATCTCTTTCATATAAATTACATCTTACACATACATTATTGTCTATAAAGTTAGCTTTTCTTTTATACAACACATCGTAAGTAGGAAACTCCTTTAGCAAAATTTTGATTTATAAAATCGCTCTATACTATCCTGAATCGAAGTTTGTTGTTTTAAGAATTGATTTCTATTATATAAAAATTTAAGAGTTTATTCCAATTAAACTCTTGTAGCATATTGTAATAAAATATGTCGTCCGTTAATTCGCAATTAATAAATTCATTTTTGTAGTAAGCATATGTATGACTTTTTGCCGATTCCTAAGGGCGTCAAAAATTATATTCGATCTCCAAAATAAATTATAATCATTAACACATAAGTTATATGTAATTAAATTGAATCTATATTCACTTAATTTTTCAACTGTAATTTCTTTAAAGAATTTTCCTTCCTTTGTAAACATCTCTTCACGCATTCAGATTTATCGGAATTATGATCTTTTCCTCCTAATCCATTTTTCAATGAACATATATTCCGTATAATATTTACTATCCAATTTTCTTCGATTACTTTTTTCGTTGAAATATTAGAGAATGTATCATTCTTCTTAATACATCATTATCTTCAACGTTCACAATTTCATTCAAGAAGGCTATTGCTTTCATCAGATAAGTACCAAGCTATTACCACATCAGTATTAACATTATAATTATGTTTAGCATGAAAATAAAATTAAATTTCAACTTGACGATGGTAACGTAAAAACAATAAAAAGATGAGTAATATAATTTTTAAAAATTGTTGGTCATTATAATTATTATGACGCAAACATCACATATACAAACATACGAAATTTAATAATAGATAATCGATAAACTTACATGTACACACTAATAAAGTTTGAAAAGAATCTAACACTATTTAGTTATAGCGTTTACTATAAATTTTTAGTAATTAAAGATTTTGCCAACATATCAGTGGATTTGTTTCATCACATGTCATTTGCTATGGGAAAGTCCAATTCTCTAATTAATTTACTATGTTCGGCTGACATGTGATGAAACAAATCCGCCGATATGATTACTGTAATTAGCTACAACTTCTTTATTTGTCATATGTAAATTATGTAATATAACAAGATAATGAATTTAATCTTGTTTAAAACCGGCATGTCGATTCAATTTCGGAAAAATTAATACCGAAGTGTGATATATATCTTTTTAAGCCTTTGCTGCTTTACACCGTCAAATTAAAAAAAAAAGAGAGATGGATTTTCCGAAATATAATGGAACTATTCATCCAGATGAATGGATAAATGATATCCGAATTTATTTTAAACTTAAAAATATTAACGATCGCGATTGTTTGAAAATTGTTCTATCATTCATAGACCCTATTATCACACTTCCGAATAGGATTGATAGTTTTGAAAAACTTCGTAATGCATTTAAAGAGGATATTTCTTTTACAGTATTTAAACGTACAAATAAGAAGTTATTAGAATCATTAAGATATATTCCTGAAAGAAAAGGTGGAAATACTTCAAAATTTGTTTCAAATTTTCGTAAATTATGCTATAATTCTGAAGTTAACGATATAGAAGAGCAAAAAATTTATTTTCGTAATGCACTCCCAAAACTTTCAAATGATAATTATAACAATTGTTATGATTATTTTCTGGAATTTACTAAAAGATGGGAGAAAATCAAATCAATGAATCATTTAGTTAAGGAAATTGAGGAAATTGTTACAGTTGAATCAAATTTGATTAAAAATGAATCTATTGTAGCTTTAAAGCATGTTTCTACAGGAAAATATTTAAGTTCAATTGAAAATTTATGTTATACAACCGGAAGTAAATCTCAAATGGTATGGTTTTTTGTATTAATCTCGTTTGTAATATTTTTGAGAAATTAACAAACACTATTATATAACTTATTCAGGCTTTTGTAAGCAGTCAAGTAGAGTCTGATCTAAATGCTTTATGGAAAATTGAATTTAGCGGAGAATTAGCTATGTATAATAAAACTCCTATACGTTTACGACATATCAAATCTGGCAAGTATCTTGGATTATATTATTATTATTTATTTTATCCCAAATATTATACTTGTTACAGATCTCCGATAACTGATCATAGAGAAGGTAATAAATTGAAAACTTTTTACTTAATTTATCACTAATTAAAGTGGCAAAAGTACTCATTGGTAATTTTTTTAGTATGTTGTGCCGGAAATAAAATTAAATTGAGTTGGGAGTTTAAACATAGTAAATTAGAAAATCGCCAAGGATATTTGAAGTCAAATGATATTATTAATCTTAGAATTTGTAGACGTGATACTTCTCTAAATTTATTTTTACGTAGTCATGATATTCAATTTACTATCGGAAATGATAATTTTCAAGAAGTTGTTTGCCATAATAACGAAAGATTAGGAGGAAATGATGAAGTAAGTCATTTTACTTTATATTATTTTAAATGATTAATAAATATTTACTGTTTTTTCCCTTTATTAGTGGTGCATTGAACTTATTAAAAAGATTAAATAAAAGTAGGATGCGAGTTATATTTGAGAAATTATGAATTACTTCAATTTATTTATTAAAAACTTATTTATTTGACAAGTAGCCAAAATTTTGTACTGCACACAATATTTAATAAATTTAACCAATATTTTGATTTTTAATAATCATAAACAATAGTAAAAAATCACTTGTAATATTAACAGTTCAAACTTTCAATAAACAAACTACGCGCACTTAATTAAAAACAAACATGACAAGCCATTATCACAATTCACATAAATATAAGTGTATAGAATTCTTTAAACTTTGATGCATTACGAGTTGCAACAACTCTAGCTGTGATTTTATCAAAATTATAAAAAGCTTTCTTTATGCGAATTTTCTTAAACTCTGGAACAAATTTATTTAGTATCTAATAGGAATTTAGATCCACTATTCACATACAATAATTCTACTTAAAGATCTGCATGTTTAAAAACAGAACAAGTCATCACGCAATTTACTTTTCTTTGAACTTGCTGAAGGTATGCCAAACGATCCGTTATGTGCTGAGTTTTTCCTCTTGCGATTTCTATGTGCACGTGAATTGGAAAGTGATACATCATTCGTATGATCACAAATTTTCTTCAACGTGGCCTGAAATGAGATGAACTGATAATGAGATGCTGTACAATATCAACTACAATGCAATGAGTATATAGTACCTTGACATCTGACATGAGCGCATAAAAACCTTCAAGAACTGCAAGAGATTTCAGGGTATTTGGCAACTTTGTATCGGAAAGTCTTCCTAAGCGTAATACATTTGTGGATTTACAGTCCATCACGTACGTTTCGTGAACCCACCCTTAGCATGAGAACAAAAAATATTAGTTATTAAATTTTGAGAACATACGTCTGGTGGAGGTCGTCTCCAGGTGCATGCGAATTAGACTTGAAAAATCGTACAAAACAACATCATGTATAGCTATGGAAAGATCAATACGATCCTCAAAAATTTTTTTGCAGTGGGCGACCGGTAGGCCACCACTTCTAAGCCCAATGATTGCTTCGAGATTATTAACTATTTTTTAATGAACCCCTGAAAATCACACTTCCGGCCTATTCGTGCGTGAAGGATAATTGAGCGCCCTTCGTTCCTGCGTCGGGAAGAAGCCCAGCAGGAGATTTCACCACTACAAAAATTGGAAGAATAACGAGTTAAATAAATGAAGAACAGACTGTATTCTTATCTATACTTACCCATCCATCTTGAGTTCTTGTTTTTCTAGAAATCGTTTTGTCAACATGTTCGGAAAATTATTGTCAAAATCGCCTTCTGAAATGAGTAGTTCGAGTCTTTTTAAGTTTTCTGCACTGTGGCAAGAATTGGAAAATGAATAATCAAAAGATATAAAGTAATCAATCTTACATTGACTAAATTACTATGTTATGGTAGCACGCCTGATATTATCAACAATATCTTTTTCCTCGTTTGTTAGCTCAACATGATTATTCTTTTCAATTATTTCTGGAGATAATCTTTCGATTTCCTTAACAATATTTTCGTTTTCTTTTTTTGTTATCTAAAAATGAATTGGTCAGCAACATTTAAATTGCTATAACAAGAAAATCTTACCAACCTTCTCTACTTCATTAAAAAAATATATTACAATATCCGGTATATCTGATTCGATTAAAGTCACATCTCTTTTTACCGTTATTTCTTCCTAGTCATTCGTTGAAAAAAATGGTCCTCAGTCAGATCAAGGATGTTTCAATAAGCTAGTAATGCCTCTCCAACGTTAGTACCACTCCGGAGGACCCATGATCGACAAGTTTTTGACGTTGGTTTATAATCTTCTATCCATTCTACAAATTGATCATTACTATTCCCAGTATTTTCCTCCGCCTCTACATGATTATTGATCATCTCCCTCACTTCTTCTTGGTCGTAGATTGTGTTCTTCAAATACAGATCTGGCAGATCTGAAGTTTGTGGCCATTGATCCTATACATAAGAGTCATAAAGTAACAAGTGGTGGAGGAATATTAACGTCAGGATATCATTTTTAAAATACGAAAAAAAATGCAGTATAATAATTCCACTTCCTGGTGATACTCCTGGTTCGCATAAAAACATTTTATATAAAAAACTTTATTAAACCCTAACCTTTGGTAACGATAGATTTTTTTTCCGCTTTTGTTGACGATCAGGTACAGGTTGGAAATCATCATCATCGGACTAAATACATGAAGGAGTTAAAACTACTACTTTTATCAGACAACCAAAATTTTGTAGATTCTCATGACTTATAGAAAAAAGCGCTTCTATACCTCTTTCTGTTTTCTTTCAGAATTTTTAGAATTATCAACTGTTCCTGTATTAATCAGAGAATTTATAGTCCTTCTGGTAATTGTCGGGTTGTATAGATGAATCGAGGGTTTATTAGTTGATTTACTTTCATTAGATCGTAACCAAGCTCTGGATCCGACCCATCAACCTAAGCAAATACTTAAAAAATTTAATAATATTTTTGACTGATGACTTCAAAATTTTCGTCTGATTTCATCCATCAAGTCGCCCCGCAGGCTTAACAACAGATGTGCCCGCAGTTCATCTGATGCCTTGGTGGTGCAAGTGCTAGGTCACCCCTCAGGTTTGAACATCAGGCAAGCTTACAGCTTATCTGTGCACCACATTTGCTTTGTAGCTCGACCCGCAGTCTTGAATGATAGAGAACCCACAGATCCCTACCACGCCACTTATTTCTGTGCATTTCTAAAAAAAGCTCTTATATTTGCTTATGCTTATCCAGCAACAGTTGTGCCATTTCATATCTTGGATCTTTCTCTGTTTTAAGGCAGGTATCAGCTATCGTCTCAAGAGATAGAAGGTAAACTTCTATTTTCCGTTGAAATGTTTTTTCATCGCATTCTTCTAAAAACTCCCAAATATTCCAATTCGTGGGGTTTCGATCAAAATATTTGTGCATTCTATTAATTATGTTCATTGTAGACAATATAAAAAAAATACGTGTGATTTTCGAGATTTTTCGCTTAACAATCACATGAGGCTACGCGTCTCTTAATTGGCTGTCGATCATTTTGATCACATGATGCTACGCGTCTCATCAGTTTTTTTTTTTTTAAATTCCATAAAAATTCCATAAACTCCAATGATCTACTATAATGTAGACGTTACTAAAACATCCGTTAAATAAAGTAGTGTAAATAAAAATTTGCAAGTCTAAGCTAATCTAAAATTTATGATTAGTATAGTTAGTATAATACGAAAACAAACTTAATGTCTATTAACTCCAACACTTCGAATTTAATATTATTAACCCTATATCAGATATACTTTTTGTGGTACTACTTTTATAACGCAAATTTGCGTGACGTCTCCTCCGTTAGTACCCTAAACGTTTTTTATTTGTAGTCCAGGGTTCCCATTCTTTCATAAGGTTATCTAGCCATGCTGTACTTTAAACGGCTCTCTAGAATACCATGACGCAATAGCTCTTCATCGATCAACCTTTCGTGGTCTGTTAGAAACGTATAATATTTTCTAGGGTCTTCTTTTCTCTCTATTGCACCACGATAAAATCCTATATCTCTCAGATATTGCGAAAGCATTCGCTGGCTCATCTTTTTTTCTCAGCCTCAGTAATTATCGAAAATTTCTCGGGATTCTCTCCATGTTCAACGGCATATTGATAAAGACATTCCATTTTATTTGGGTTAGTCCTAGGAATTGGAGGCGAGAAGCGAATGGTATACTCACTTTGGTAGGTACCTCTGATACCGCATCTGGTGATTTCAGGACAGAAAAATCAGAATCTTGTTCTTTGAGCGTCGGAGCATGGTAGGGTACAACCCAAGAGTCCGCTTCAGTTAAACACTTGTAGACGTGGCGGCAGTTTGACTGAAAGGTCGCGGGAAACCTTTTTTGCATGTTTGGCCTGGGAGGGCTGGTCCCTGGCACTTTTCGCCGCAAGTGTGTACCTGGTTGGCTATAACGGCGGATTATAATTCAGGTTCGTACAAGGGGTCCGGTAAGGGTCGTTTTGAGGTAACCATGATGCGGCTCGTTGTAAAGTCACGTCATGCGCTGAATGATGGGTTAAATTATTCACTATAATTATTGGGTTCTAGGAAGGCTCCCAATATTCCATAGTAGAAGGCGTACTGGGCACCTCATAGATGGTTTCTTACAAGAATCGCAAACCGGGACTCTCAGCGATTAAGGTTTGGGTTGAAAGGTAATGTGATGTAAGGAATATTAAGTTGTAGGGGTAAAAGTTGAAGGGTCGTGTAATATTCAACATGCTTTCTCGGGAAATAACAATTTTTCGTAATATACGCAGGCCATTAATTAAGAATAGTATTCTGAAATCTGTCATATAACAGATAATCTTTCCAATGCGACGTGTGTAACGGATGATCTTGATTGCCATTATCATCGATTGACGTATTAGTTATGTCATGATTAGACGAATCTAGTAAGGTCTCATACTCATTATCAAATGTATCCACGTTAATAGAAAAAGATGTTCTCGTTTTTTTTTAATTTGTTCTTTTTATTTACACAATAATGTTCGTACTATACTGTATAGAAAAAAATTTTTACTATTTTTTTTACTATGTAGAAAAAAAAATAAGAAATCTTTATAAGAGGTATGTAATTAAGGGAAGTGACGTCTCGATAAAAAATAAGTTTGATAATTAAAATTAATCATTATTTTCCTGGGTTTCGTTGTTAGGATGGTTTTAATCATAAAAATCCTAATATAAACATTTAAGTGATCTCACGTCACCGATATACCAAAATTTAAATAATAGTTAATATAATAATAATAAAATTATTATGACGAAAAATCATAGACGTGTGAAATGTATAATTAATTAATTAATTAACAATAATATATATAAATAATATAATTTAAAATTTTGCCAAATTACCATTATCAGTTATATTTCATTATTATAATTGACTATAACTTCTTTATTTATCATATGTCATTACGCAATATAATGAATTCAATCTTGTCTAAAACCGGCATGTCGATTCAATTTCGGAAAAATTAATACCGAAGTGCGATATATAAGCCTTTGCTACTTTACACCATCAAATTAAAAAAAAAAAGAGAAATGGATTTTCCGAAATACGATGGAAATATTCACCCAGATGAATGGATAAATGATATTCAAAAGTATCTTAGATTTTTAAATATTAACGATGGCGATTGTTTGAAAATTGCTATATCATTCGTAGACCCTATTATCACACTTCCGAATAGGATTGATAGTTTTGAAAAACTTCGTAATGCGCTTAGAGAGGATATTTCTTTTAAAGTATTTAAATGTACAAATAAAAAGTTATTAGAATTATTAAAATATATTCCTGAAAAAGAAGGTGGAAATACTTCAAAATTTATTTCAAATTTTCGTAAATTATGTTATAATTCCGAAATTAATGATATAGGAGAGCAAAAAAATTATTTTTGTTATGCACTTCCAAAACTTTCAAATGTTAATGGTAACAATTGTTATGATTATTTTCTTGAATTTATTAAAAGATGGGAGAAAATCAAATCAATGAATGATTTAATTAACGAAATTGAGGAAATTGTTTCAATTGAATCAAATTTGATTAAAAATGAATCTATTGTGGCTTTAAAGCATGTTTCTACAGGAAAATATTTAAGTTCAATTGAAAATTTATGTTATACAACCGGAAGCAAACTTCAACTGGTATATCTTTTTATTAATATTTCTTTTTTATTTTATTGATGATTGACTTTTATTTAATTATTTTAGGTTTTTTCAGACAGCCAACTAGTGCCTGATCTAAATGCTTTATGGAAAATTGAATTTAGTAATGAATTAGCTACATATAATAAAACTTCTATATGTTTACGACATATCAAATCTGGCAAGTTTCTTGGATTACATTATTATTATTATTATTATACCAATCAATCCAAGGCTTATACTTATTACAAATCTCCAATAACTGAACATACAGAAGGTAAGAAATTGAAAGCTTTTTACTTAATTTATCATCAATTAAAATGACAGAAAGTACTCATTAGTAATTCTTTTTAGTATGTTGTGGCGGAAATAAATTTAAATTTAGTTGGGAGTTTAAGCACAGTAAATTAAAAAATCACCAAGAATATGAATATTTAAAGTCAAATGATATTATTAATCTTAGCACTTATAGACGTGATACTTCCCAAAATTTATTTTTACGTAGTCATGATATTCAATTTACTATTGGAAGTGATAATTTTCAAGAAGTTGTTTGCCATAACGAAAGATTAGGAGGAAATGATGAAGTAAGTTATTTTATTTTATATTTATAATATTAATAACAAATAAATATTTACTGGTTTTTCCTTTATTAGTGGTGCATTGAACTTATTAAACAAGGTTGAATAAAATAGGATGCGAGTTTTATTTGAAGAAATTATGAATTAATTCAATTTCTTAATTGACAAGTAGCCAAAATTTTGTGCATAATATTTAATAAATTTAACCAATATTTTGATTTTTAATAATTATAAATAATAGTACTAGACTTATGATGTTCTTCCATAAAAAATAACACTTGTAATATTGAAAGTCAAACTTACAATAAACAATTGACTATTATAATATGGTGGATACGTACGAATGATATTAATTGATCACATGTAATTGTCTTATGTCACGTGATTGAAGATCAATCATGGCCCCGATCGAACAATTTCAGGACATTGAGTCTTGATTCACACACTTAATTTATTTATAATTGGATAATTATATAGAAAAAAAGAATCACTTAAGTATCATACTAGCCTTTGTGAATTTTCTAAAAATTTAGTGCTTTTTAGGCGATGTTTTATTTTATTAAACACTAAGAATTTTTCTATCATATCACCGAGGTGATGATCACCGGTGAAATTATGATGATCGACCAGCATTAAAAAAATAGTGCCGGTAAAATTGATAATTCCGGCCAACGGTGATGATCACCCCGGTGATTTGAATCACAAATATGATTGATCTGTTTGAAGATTTATATAATCGAGTAAATATTAAATTAATTCATATAAAATAATTGTGTAAAATTACTTTGTTTTATGCATATTATATACCTGATTGCTGTATTTAATTTTTCACAAGTAAAATCAAGTAAGCGACTTTGTATAACATTCTTGTGAAATGAGATTTATTAATAATTGCCCAATTGGTTTATCAATTCTATATACAGTCAGACCTCCATAATTGCACACCCCTTGGGACCATATGCATAATTTTCAAAATAGTGCATTTAAAGAGGGTGTGCATTTATAGAGGTAAAATAATTAGAGATCATATAAGCTTGGGACCGAACCAGAGGGTGCATTTAGAGAGGGTATACATAGTGGGTGCAATTATGGAGAGTGCAATTATAGAGGTCTGACTGTATAATATTACTTTTTAGCTCTTCATTTACATTCATTTCATTAAGAATAAAAATCCATTCTTTAATAATATTTCTAACTTTTTAATAACGTGGATGGCTTTTTTAATAGATCATTCCAACATTTTTTCATCAAATCTATATAGCAACAATTTCAGGACGTTCGCCTTTACAAATGCTTACAGTAAGTTGAAGATCATTTTCTAATCATTGAAAAACTATAAATATTCCTAGCATGAGTATAAGGTAAAATTTCAGATGACATATGTATAACGCCATAAATATTGTCTTTTTTGAAAAAGACTTTACAGGTAGGCATCATCCTAAATCACTAATATAATTTTATCCTTTTTATTCTCTTCATTTTCTTCATCATCTTCTTCATCCCTTACATTCTTATAAGATATTGCAATCATGAAAATCACAATGTATTTCTACCATATAATTTCAAGTATTTTTCATGCCAATTCCACTATAAATATAAAATTAAATATATTAGTATAAGACATTTAAAAGCTACTTCTTTATCATTTTACTTTGAATAGAATATTTTTAATAGCAAAGTTAAAAATATTGAAAGTTCGAATTATTATGACGCAAAAATCATAATTGTACACAAACATGTGAAATGATATAATAGTGACCAATAATATATTAATTACTATAACTAAATAGTGCCAATTACTATTATATTTTGTCATAATTGACTACAATTGTCATATGTCATTAGTCTAAAACTGGCATGTCGATTCAGTGTCTATATAAATATTGAACACCGGAAAGATTAATACCGAAATTCATTTATACTCCTTTTATCGTTTTTTCGTTATTAAAAAGAAAATGGAAGTTCCAAGATATGATGGAAGTATTCATCCAGATGAATGGATAAATGATATTCAAAAATATTTTAAACTTAAAAATATTAACTATAACTATTTTAGTATTGCTAAATCATTCGTGGATCCTACTATTATCTCACTTCCTGCTGAAATTTATAGTTTTGAAAAACTAAGCAATGCACTTAAAGAAGATATTTCTTTTACAGTGTTTAAAAATACTAATAAAAGATTATTAAGAGTATTAAAATATATTCCTGAAAGACAAAATGGCGAAACTCCAAAATTTATTTCAAAATTTCGGAAATATTGTTATAATGCTGAAATTAATGATATAGAAGAACAAAAAAATTATTTTTGTCATTCACTTCCAAATAATAATGATAATTGTAATTATAATTATCTTTTGGAATTTACTAAAAGAAAAGAAAATATCAAATCAATGAATGATTTGATTAGAGAATTTGAAGAAATTGTTACAGATGAATTAAATTTAATTAGAAATGAATCTATTGTAGCTTTAAAACACGTTGCTACTGGAAAATATTTAAGTTCAATTGAAAATTTTCTTTATACAACCGGAAGTAAATCTCAAGTGGTATGGTTTTTTGCATTAATCTCGTTTTAATATTTTTGAGAAATTAACAAACACTATTATATAACTTATTCAGGCTTTTGTAAGCAGCCAAGTACTTGGTCCAAATGCTTTATGGAAAATTATATTTGGTAAAAATCGCTACTATGATCCTCAAGATGGTGATTCCTATATTTATGATTCTCATAGTATTAAGTTACAGCATATCGATTCTTATAAGTTTCTTGGAATAAATAGAGTTTGCTACAAATCTCCGATAAGTGAACATACAGAAGGTAATAATTGAAAATTGTTTATTTAAATTATCATTAATAAATGTGACAGAAAGTATTTATTTATTTTTATAGTAAGTTGTGAATATTATTCTTCGGATTGGAAGGTTAATCATAGTAAATTAGAAAATCGTCAACGATATTTAAAGTCAAATGATGTTATTAATCTTAGCGTAAATAAGTTCTATGATAATAACGGTATGCATTATATTCAAGGTGAAGAATTTTTACGTAGTCATGATATCCAATTTACTATTGGAAATGATACTTTTCAAGAGATTGTTTGTCATAATGAAAGATTAGGAGGAAATGATGAGGTAAGTTATTTTTTATTATTTGTAATTCTGAATGAAATATTTATCTTTTTTTTTTTTTTATTTATTTAGTGGTGCATTGAACTTATTAAACAAGATTGAATAAAATAGAGCGTGGAGAACATGTGGATTACTTATATAAATTCATTGGATACTGTGTAAATCTTGACTAATTAACTCATTTTATTTGAAAGAATTTCATCTTTAAATAATTTGATTTAGCTTTTACGCGAATGAAAATTTTTGTAATACTAAAATTTTATTAGATTTAATTTTTTAAATTAATAGATCATGATCCGTGATTTTACTTTTTTGTTTAATCGGTTTTTTTAATCAGTCACAATTTATTTCCATTGCTATTCAACATTTCCTTTCTTAGTTAATGTGTACTATTTTTTTCAAATTTGACCACTTTTTTGATCCTATTTGTTGTTTATGTTAATAAGCAATCAAATGTATGATAGTAAATTTCTTTGTTAATAAGCAATTAAATGTATGATAGTAAATTTCTTTTTGCAACGTGTCTTATTATTATTTTTTTTGCTTTTGAGTAAACCTACTGTGTCGTCCTTATATTAATTATCATATCTAAAATGAATCCAATTATTCTTTCAGATATCTCAGATATCGAAGCTATATCTGATGAAGAAACTATATTGGATGACGAAGTTCCTCATTAACTATTTTTTAATAAATTTAGATTCTTTCTTGCCGCTCAATCAACAGCTTGTAGATATAAAAATAATAATAAACCTTGTGATATTAAAGCAAGATTAAGAAGAATTATTAAAAATGGAGGTGAAGGTGAAGAATATATCATTGGATGTGATAAATGGGTCAAAGGAGAAAGGTTTCATCGCTATACTGTATTTAAGTTCCAAAGTAGATTGATTTGGAATTATTGCAAAATATTTTTCAAGGACGAAATATATTTATATATTTTTTGTCATTTATATTAACTTTTTAATTTCATAAAATGTTAATATTAATTTAAATTCAGATCAATGAAAAAATAGTGATGAAAATCAATGTTATACTTTAATTCCACGTTCTTCAAAAGTAAAATTATGTGGTAAATATAATTATTGTTAACTACTTAATATAATTATTGTATATTATAATTGTCATAACAAAGTTTTTAATTAATTTATTTTATTAATTAAGGTTATCCACATACTCACAATAGAGAAGTCGTGTGTGAAGTCCCTATATTGCATTAGTATGCATGGGCACACATAATCACCGCCACCACCTGAGCGCATACTATCAGGTGTTAAAGATGAATTACAAGCCATGGTTCAAAATATTATCTCGTCATATGATAGTGTAACGCCACATTCAATTATAACAGGTAAGTTTTTAAGTATATTTATTAACTTAATAGCAACCATATAATCAATTTATTATATTTATTTTATAGGAAATAGTATTAAAGCAACTTTTGATAAAGATGCATTAGCAGAGATACATGCATTTTTAAACAATATAGATAAGCTTCGATCTCTAGTTGCAAAATGTTATAAGAATATGCATCCTTATGGTAAGGGTATTATATAGCGTTCAATGATATACACAGATTATTCTTCTTTTGCCAATCGTTGCTTATTTGTCATATGAAACAAAAAAAAAAAAAGTATTTCGCAAAATAAAAAAAAATGGTATTTTGGAAGATTGTATTGGTTACAATAGCGTTTGTATGGATTATTAATGAGATTAACAATCTCAACAATAATTTGCTGACGTCAATTATTTCAGGTAAATTTTACCGATCAGTTTCATTTAAAAAATATAAATTCAATATAAATATTGCATTACTTTATATTTTTCTTATGATAACAATTATTAGTATTTTACAATTCTTAATATAATACTTAATAACTTTAATATAAATTAAAAAATTTTAAATGATATGATTTTATTTATATTATAACAAGATTTAAGGTATAAAAAATTTTTTGGGCTCATTTTTGACTGTTCACTAATAAATTTGGGGCATAAATAAAAATTTAATGACTAAAATACTGTCAAATATTTATTTTATTTAACATGACGGACAAATTTTAGGGTAATTCATAAATCCGCCATGGTATATATATACAATTTTAAATAACTCTTGATTAAAGAATAAAATTTTAATTATTCGATTAAAATTGGTAAGTTAAATCATTTTTCTATACTTTATATCCACCAGGATTTCAAGCACAAATTAATAGTCTCGGACATTCAGTTATACTAAAAGTTTGAATTTTAAATTGCTGGCAAAAAAAAAATGTTAGTCTATGATAACAAGTCAAGTTACCCGCATTCCCATGATTTAATTTTATTTATCATATTTTTAAGTCCAAAATTAATTTTTTATGTTCCAGACAAAACTAAAATCTGTAATACAAATAACAATCAATAATAGAGCAAACTTTGATATCAATCATACACGATGCTTTTTATTGTAAAAATGATACTTTTGTTTCCAATATTTTTGTCGGTACTATTTTATACTGTTTTACATAAATTATGTTGTAGATATGCTGGTCTAATTTAAGATATCGTCAGAGATTAAACACAAAGAGACATTTATTTATGTATAATATTTCTTTCATATATGTTGTAGGTGGAAAAGGAATCTATGTGGATTCCGAATCCACATATGTGGATATATATAAAAAGAGAAAAAGGATATAAATCAGGCAATGTATTGGTAAAGGATATCAAAATGTTCAATTGGAAAAAATTGTGAAAAATAAAGAAATTGCCATATGTAAAATACTGTAGTTTAAGAAATTTAATTTGCTTTATCATGTAACAATTTACTTTATCATGTAATTTTCTTATACTTTTATCCATATCATTGCTGACACACTATGAAAATAACAAAATGTATTATGTGCATTGAAAAAAAAAGTTTTTACAGAAATAATTTACGTGCTAAATATTTTGGTCAATAATACATTACTTTTTAAATACAGGTTTAAACTTTTTTCTTTGAAATACCTTTTTTTTATATAACTGGTGGGAGTTTATTTCAATTTCATTTCAGTTTCTAGATGGTTTGTATTAGTCTTCTTTGATTGCTTTAAAAATATATTATCATTTTTTAATCTGCTGAGAAGCTTTGCTGATTAAATATGTGATGCTGTGATAGGTATCACGGTTATAACCGGTGGTTGGTCAAAGACTTTTGACTGACTGTTTGACTGACCGGTTTGACCGACCACCTGGGCAAACCATTTGAATGTTAGTCTGGTCACTCAAATGGTCAGTCAGTCAAAGGTTCTTGACCGGTTATGACTGAGACCATAATCATCATTCATCACTAATATGTTGTGCCATAATTTACCATCATTATAAATAATAGTAGATAGGTCAGTAAATTAGAATTTCGTAATATGTGGCGCAATATTGGACACATGATGTAGATCATTTTATTATGAAACGAATCTGAACCCGCATGGTGATAAACATTAATAATAATAGTAAAATTATGATGTAACATTAAAGGATAGTGAAACAACTGAAACAATACTAACGTACTCTATTTTTCAAAAATCTGGATCCTATTAAACATATAGTAATAAAATATGTTTAAGTACCCCTTCTAAATTTGAATTACGATTTTCCAGAATTTCCCAAATTTTCCCAAAAGTTATATTATGTTTGTTCGTTTATTGTAGACCCCCCCCTCAAACTCTTCATAAATTCTGGATGTTAAACAAACAATCAAATTTGAGTGGCCTAACCCTAAAATAAGTACCCTTAAATTAGTTATATAAGGAGTAACTTTTGGGAGAAGTTGAAAGAGTTCTTACGTTCTGACATCATATAATCTTTATTTTTGAGAATTATTTTCACAATGTAATAATTTTAACCCAATAAATTTTATATTTTATAACCCAAAAATTCATATAATTTTCTGTAATAATAAACCAAGCAACACATTTACCAATGTCACTTGTTGTGGAAAAGGTGGCAGCTTTTCTCGCATGGCAACATACTGCCAGTATCTACTGGCATCCACTGCTATCAATAGCATCAACACATCAGGAATTTTAAATACTTTAATACAATATTTAATTTCCACACTTGTTGTGGAAAAGGTGGCAGCTTTCTTGCATGGCAACGTACTGCTAGTATCTACTGGCATTCACTGCTATAAATAGCATCAATACATCAGGAATTTATAAATACTTTATACAATATTTAATTTCCACACTTGTTGTGGAAAGGGTGGCAGCTTTCTTGCATGGCAACGTACTGCTAAGTATCTACTGGCATCCACTGCTATCAATAGCATCAATACATCAGGAATTTGTAAATACTTTAATACAATATTTAATTTCCACACTTGTTGTGGAAAAGGTGGTAGCTTTCTCGCACAGCAACATACTGCCAGTATCTACTGGCATCCACTGCTATCAATAGATACTTTTCGTCTCCCATTATTTTCTATTACATCTTTTTATTTTCCATTATCTCTTTCTCTCCTGTTTACTTCCCATCATTTCTTTTTGTCTCTCATCACTCCTTTTCGTCTCCCATCACTCCCCATCACTTTTTTTGTCTCCCATCACTCCTTTTCGTCTCCCATCACTCCTTTCATCTTCCTATCACTCCTTTTCATCTCCCATCACTCCTCTTCATCTTCCCATCACTCCCCATCAATCCTTTTCGTCTCCCATCATCTCCCATCATGTCCTATTTCTCCTTTTTGTTTCCTATCATTACTCCCTTTCATCTTCTATTACTTTCCATTGCTCCATTGTTATTTCATTTTTTTATTAGCATCTTTCTCCTTGATCATTGTAATTTACTTATCTTTTTATTTATTGTTATTGTTTCTTTTATTTGTATCACTTCATTAAAAATACAGTGATTTTTTCTTTAAAATCGTAAATGTATGACTTAAATTTTAATATTTGCAAATAAAATTTCATTAGATAAGATTATTTTGAAAAAAATATCATTTGCGATAAAATTTGAAGTTTAGCCGATCAAAAATTAGCTAAAAAAATCTGATCAATAAATTTACTTTATTTATTATACATCATGTGGCATATTTGAAAAAAAAATCCAGGCGACAATCACGTTTAGCAATTCCCTTAAATTTTTACTATTTTACTTTTACTATTTTAACGACACATGTATGTCTACGCACTATGAAAAAAAATCATTTCTCTGTCCGCCACGTGATCATCACCCAATAAAATCGCAAATTTTAGTTTTTCACTCCGGACTTAGAAGATTAAATTTCAAAGCCGCATAATAGGTGTGGCGCAGATTTGTCCTTGCCATACAAAAGGAGGTATATTTCCTTTTTATGAAAATTCATTAATGTTAAATACTGCATTTAATGCCAAGTGCTTTTCAGTTAATGCAAAATGATTTGTATTTAACGCCAAATGCAATATGGTGTTTAATGTCAATCAATATGTACTTGGCATTCCATAATTCTTTTCTTTTAATGACTAATGCAGATCGTGCTTTTATTTAACGCCACCAAAAAAAAAAAAGTACACCAATACAGGGACTAGTGTATTTTCCTACATCGCAGGCAATATAATCTTAAAATTCGCTGCTAATGCTAAACAACTAAATCTCACTATAATGTCCTAACAACGTGACATCATTTATTCTTGCCTTTTGATTATTAATAAGACGCAGGTAAGAAATTGAGATTGTCAATCATTCAACGGAATTTTTAGGAACTTGTTACTGTATTTTCACAAGATTCCTCATTTTTCAATTCCTTTTGTTTTGCCGACATGATTCGACCTCAAACTGGCGAAATTTCTGAACTATTTTGATATAAATCTCGTAATTCTGTTGCCAAAAATCATTAGAATAAGTTTGTGGTATTGGTATAAGTTCTAGTTCCACTTTACCGTCATATGAATCTTGGTACTGTCTTTGAATAAGATGATTCAGAAATGTATCTGTCCCATTTTAAATCTAGTATCATGACATCATAACGTATGCTTTGTCGATCATTAAGACTGGATTTATGGATTCGTCCCGTCTGCCAGAATCACGAAAAATTCCTATTTAAACACCAATCTGATCGGTTTAACTGATGAATTATCTGTCTCAGAAATGATTCTTAGATATTTAGGTTCAAAAATATTGTCCTCCGATATTCCTAGAAAGAGCGAATTCGGGAAATTTTGGGTAACTGTAGATCATTCAATTGCATCTCACATGATGTCATCAATGTAAAATATTTACATTTTAAGGTAGATAATAAAAACCATACAAAGTTACCCGATTTCTTTTTTTAAAATTTGAAACAAAACTACAATCAAAAAAAAAAAAAAAAACTTTCTAAAAAAACAAAGTGGATATTTTTAGTCAAACAAAAAAAGCAACTTTTTTTTTATATATATATTAAAAGTTCTGCTCCCATTTTTTAAGTCAATCGTCTTCTTTCGTCTTATTGAAACAAATTTTTTGCCCTATTTTTTAAAAAAAAACATATTGAAAATGAGCAACTTAACTGAGGGCATTTTAATAGCGTTCTTTCTTGGTGGAGGGCTTTTATTAATCCTTTCTACGTATATTTTTGGAGTTTATAGGAATAAAAGCGTATGTTATAATAAATAAATTAATCTTTTAACGATAATTATTAGTTATTGACGATTTAATTTATTTTTCTTATAGCATAATAATTTTATTATGTTTAATACTTTGTTGATGAGTTATGATTGGATTTTCTACATAATTTTCAATATATGGATCTTTACTGCTGACCTAGGCCATGTTGATTTGGATTATATGAATTCTATTCCCTTTCTTACTATGTAATGTCAATTACGTCTTTAAATTAACAGACTTCCACGATTTTATCTAAACAGTAGGTTTTTTTTGTAGTTTGCTGACCACATGCTTAATGGTTTTCTTTCATTCTATACTTACTTTCATCATATTACTACGAGAAATTAACAATAATGAACAATTTCGTGCATGGTTCCAAGAACATAAAGTTTTTTGTTTGTTTATTGCATTTTGTTCATTAGGTAATCTTAATGTATTGCACGTTTTAAATTGTAAATTTAATTCTATGGATATATTTGATGCGAAATTATCTTTTACTGTCGAGAAAAAAATCATTCACGCAAGTGCGGTTAGTATAATTGTTGGAGATGTCCCCCGAGTATCTAGTTTGGTAAGTATGGAACTTTTGTATAAAATAACTATATATACAATTTATATAGACTAATAAAACCTGTTTTTATTATAGCTTATCATTCATTTTTTATATGCACCAGCTTCTGCATTTAATCATTTATATGCAATATCTATTATATGTACTTTCTTGTCTGGATTGGTATTCATCATCGGATTCTTTTATAGAATATATGAATCACTGATTAGAGATTATGAAAAACCAACTGCACAAGAATTTACTGCACAAGAATTTACTGCTCAAGAATTAACTGCACAAGAATTAATTGCACAAGAATTAACTGCACAAAAATTAACTGCACAAGAATTAACTGCACAAGAATTAACTGCACAAGAATTAATTGTAAGCAAAAAAAGCAAAAAGCAATTTTCAGAGGCATAACCTTTTTATTATTATTATTTATTATTATTATTGTTTAATATTATATCTTTAGTATAGTTTGTTCTATTAAAGATTGGAACATATCATATAATATACATTAGTTAAATATTTGCTTTTTTAAATTGACTTTTAAAGGTGGATTGAAAACTCGTTTCTATTTATACAATGATGCCCAATTTCTTTTTTAAGATTACGCAATAAAAATTTGAATCATTATGCTATGCAATGCATAATGCATAAAGTAAACGAACTTTACTAAAAAAGAATACTCTTAATCAGGAAATTTATAAAGTGTTTATTTTTAGTCAAAAAAATACGCCAATATTTGCCAAGCTTATACCATAAATAGCTTTGAAGATCGTCCGAAAGCACAAAATATGAATAATTTAAATTATCCAATCAGATTTATAATCCTAATTTTAGAAGTCTTGTGATATTTAGTTTATTTAATTTCCCGTTAATTACAAATCTTATAATTTATTACATAAAATGAATTACTCTATTGAGTTAAAAATACCAAATTGAGTAATTAGAGATTACCTTTATAATCTTACCAAATTTAGAATAAAAGTTTCAATTTTGTAATAGGTACAATAAAATATATATTTATACATAACTGATAAGGAATAGTGTCAACTTCGTGTAAAAAAAAAAAAAAAGTTTTTTTTTCTCCTTTTTTTTAAAAAAAAAAAAGAAAATCACGAACTTATATATTAAGTAAATATCCTTCCTCCATTAGATGAGGAGTTAATAACATTAAATATTGATTGGTTAAGAAATACCAAAAATCTATCTGAAATTGCTTCACTTCCAACTACCACCACGGAAATAACTTCCAATAAAATGACATTTTCTGATTCTTCAGATTCTATAAACGAAAAAAGAAGTTCACAAATTAAATAAATTAAAAAAATCAAGAATTGAAAGTGAAGGAAACATATGGAATTTATTATATGTACTATACCTTTAATGATATTCTTTTTTGTTATTGATATGATGTATTATGGAGTATTGTATCAAAAAGATTTTTTTGGATGGATTGCAACAGTTATCATTGTTGATGATAATAATCAACAACAAAATGTTGCTGATGCTAGCGAAGAATTATTAAATGATATTAATAATTTAGAAATCACAAAAGAAATTCTGTAAAGAATTGTTTTCAGGAAGAGAGTTTCTCGAAATGTTGAATAATCATAATTTTTGTTTTTATTTATAATAATACTATTTCTTTTTAAAGATATTAAAGATTTGTATTATATTTTTTTATATATATTTCGATAAAATTTTTGTGTATAATATGCAAATTGAATCAATAACACGTAATCTGACTACGCTGTGTCAAATGTTTTATTTTAAGGCAGCCAGTGTAAAATTTTCATTTGAACCTAAATAATTTCCTGTAATAACATGTTTTAAATTTTAAAGCTACAATAAGTTTGTTTACAATTGAAGGTGGCAATTATACAATAAAATCTTTAAATTCTTAAAGAGTAATCAACAATTCCAATTTCGTGCAAATTTCAATCAAAATATTTCATCTGAAATGATTTATAAAGATATTCTTATTTGTTCTTCTATAATTAATTTCTGCGTTATAACAAAGTTTATAACAAAGTTTTGATTTATTATTTGCAACATTCTCTTATTTGTAACTTCTTTAAGTGCATTACAAAGTTTTTTGTAAGTATCAATTCCAGTTGGAAGTTTGATTGTGGAATCTACTAAAGATATAATTAATACTGTAATAGTTTATACTTATGGAGTTTCGTTGCACCGCTATAAAAATTAGTTATCGTTGGTTGTACTTTTATGGTTGTCAACGTTAACGTTATATTCGTATCAGGAGTACCAGAAGAACCAAATCTTAACATTAATCCATGTCATCTGAACAATTAGTACTATTTACAAATATTTTATTGTTTCGTGGGAAAATTTACTAAGGCTGCGGATTCTGATGTGATTTTTATATCCTTTTTTTTGATTACTAATGATTACTAATACTCGGAAAATTTTGTCATCCCCGAAAACAGCTTTTTGTCATATAATTCAAGAAAATTTTGATCTGTAGGTTAGTACACAAATAACATCCATGTAGGACGAAATGGTGCCTAGCAATCAAGCGAAAGTTCAAGAGAAAAATTTGCATAGTAAAGAATACATTGCCGAGAGTATTGAGAAGATGAAAGAGCTAATGAAAGAATTGTATAGTAAAAGGGTGCGTTGCCGAGAGCATCAATTTTGTTGTTGAGTAAGGGGGCACAAAGACACTGGCAAGAATGTGAAGGATAAATTTTCCTGCAACTTAGCAACAATACTTGCAAGAGATCATGAGGTAGTTGCAGTATGGTTGGAATCTACATCCGATGGTTGTATAGTTTACCTTTCTAAGAACTTTGCTTGGCTTCAGAACGATCTTGTATAATCACGACTCACCTAACAAATATATCTAAAAATGCTCCTATGATCTCAACAGATTTTGAGATTGCTTTAATTGAAGGTATAATTATATACCGTTCGACTAAGATTGAATATCGACTTAAAGAACTTAAGGACGAAATAAATAGGGGTCAAGAGAAGTATGATCATGATGTTATTTCTTTCATAAATTGTACTTCAATTGATGCTAATAATATAGATACATTAAAAAAATCTAAAATATCCGATCTTTGTAACAAGTATTATAATGAATTCAAATCAAAAAAGTTCATATGTTTCACCCAAAATTTTTAAAACATATCAAGAAAGTGGGATCTTATGCTGAGTCTACGAAAGAAATTATAGCATGTGTGCGTAAGACAAAGTACAAACCCCTATTCTCTAAAATTGAAGTGCGTAGAATGCGTCCTATTATCATAGATGATCAACCCATACTTTCGTAGAAAAATATTATCAGAAGGTTTGTTGATGATAACAACTATAAATGTTTCACAGATGAATGTTTGAAAGATGAACGTATAATGAAAATAATGCAAAAAATATATATTTATACAACTACGAACCAACTTCAGCTAGATGGTGACATTGAACGTCGCATATATTTACATGCGGAATTGAACATATTGGTCTATATTATGGACTAGAAAATTAGGAATAGGGTGTTTATTGCAGTATCTAAAAAATGTTGTTACTTGTGTGTACTATATATTGATTTGGTACAAGAACAAGAATATAATGTAATCATATCCGGAAAGCACAAGAAAATATATAGTGGATGGAAACTTCCACATGTATCAAATAACAATTTTAAAATCAGATCCCTAAACATATGCTAAAACATCTTGACCGAATCATAACGAACAAGGTAATTCAAAATACTCGTATTATAATGACAGATTCTGGTAGTTCTGGAGATAGTACTTTTAATCCTGATGATGTATGTAGACTATGGTAGATATACTAAGTATCTCAAGTACTAGAAGTACAGTCGGATGAGAAATCGTGAAAAAGATAAGGAAATTATATTAATGATTTAAATCCTTACTCAATAAAATAGTCAATATTGAATATTTTATGAATAATATCAAGCGATAAGCCATCAGCTGTTTTATACTAATTTTTATTAATCATTTGAAATTTGAAATATCTTTTGATTATTGCACTTATTTTAATTAAATTTAAAAGACAAATATTCTCTTTAACAATTGACAAACAAAAACTATTTAACAAATTTGATCTAATGTCAAATTATATTGCTTAATAAGCTTAATACACCACTAGAAAAGAAGGTTAAATATTAATACAAGATTTCAAATAATAAAATGAATCAATTACTAAAAATAATTTACTATTATAATAATTTACTTACTTCATCATTTACTCCTAATATCTCATTATGACAACAAACTTCTTGAAAAGTATCACCTCTAATAGTAAATTGAATATCATGACTACGTAAAAATTCAACTTGTCTGTCTGAAGTAGAATCACCATTACTATCATACTTTTTCTTAATGCTAAGATTAATAATATCATTTGATTTTAGAAAACCCTGATGACTTTCTAATTTACTGTGCTTGAAGTTCCATTTATTTTCATCTCCGCCACAGCTTACTATAAATATAACAGATAATATTAATTTTTTTTTTGTTATCTCAATATGTAATGTAAGTTATTGTTACCTTCTGTATGTTTCTCCCATACCCATGTTTGTTTAGTCAGCGGAGATTTGTAATAACCATAAAGACCATAAATAAAATTCCCTTGATAACCCTCGTAACAAATTCCAAGAAACTTATTAGATTTAATGTGTTGTAGCCCAATAGAAGTACCAGCATAAGTAGCTAACTCTTTATCATTAAAATTAATTTTCCATAAAGAATTTGGGCCAGGTTCTGGACTCTCTACAAAAACCTAAATTACATTTACAATAGAGAAATTTAATTATATTATCATAAAAAAAACAAAAATTATAAAACATACTAATTGAGTCTTGCTTCCAGTTTTGTAACACAAATTTTCAATTGAACTTAAATATTTTCCCGTAGCAACATGTTTCAAAGCTACAACAGATTCATTTACAATTAACTCTGACAAATATATAGCAAAAACTTCAAATTCTTTAATTAATTTATTGATTGAATCAACATTTTCCATTTTCTTGTAAAATTCAAATGAAATATAATCAATATGATTCATCGGAAGTGATTTATAAAGATATTCTTTTTGTTCTTCTATGTCATTAATTTCTGCGTTATAACAGGACCCCGAGCAATACTGAAATAGGTAACAAGAAATAACGCGTAGAATAGGCTAAAATAATCATGAAAATCTTTCCTTTTTTAGATAAATTTTGATAACGTTGGTAAGAAATATATTACTTTATTTAGTAACTGACTGACGTTATCATAATTCCGGCCCTGAAAAAATGCGTAGAGCTAATAGTAAAATTTTGCCAATTTCCTATGACCTATTTATATATTGTTCGGGGTCCTGTTATAACAAAGTTTCCTAAATCTCGAAATAAATGTTGAAGTATTACCACTTCTACTTTCGGGAACATACTTCAATAATTGTAACATTTTCTTATTTGTATTTTTAAATACTGTAAAAGAAATATCTTCTTTAAGTGCTTTACTAAGTTTTTCATAAGTATCAATTCCAGTTGGAAGTTTGATAGTAGAATCTACTAATGAGATAGCCATATCTAAACATGTTAAATTGTATTTTTTACGCCAAAAATAATCATATTTTTGAAGGTCTTTTATCCACTCATCCGGATGAATATTTCCATCATATTTTGGAACATCCATTTCTTTTATATAAATAACACAAAAACAGCAAAAAAAAAAAAAAAAATTAAAAAAATGAATTTCGGCGTTTTTAATTTCCTTAAAATTAAAATTTGTATTCAGATCGACATACCGGTTTTTAGCAAGATTTAGGTGCACGTGACGTTTGGCGCACGATTAAGTTGATTAACTGTAAAATAAAAGTATGTCAAGTTATATAATAATAATATTTAATGTTCAATTAGATGTACGGCCTGCATTTTGAGAAAAAAGCATGTAAAATGGAAAATATTTGAGAAAGAAGAAATTGTTCGATCTGTGCATCTAGAAAAAAAAATGGGCCATTTTTTATAGTAATTTATTATGAAAATTTCGTTTATCAAATTTAAACTCGAAAAATATTAACTATGTAAAATATTAGGTAACGCACTCTAACGTGACGTAACAATAAGTTAGCACTTAAGGGTAATTACTAAGGATCTACCTTATGTCCATAACTAAAATGACATGACATGAGAAAATATAACATATAAGATTGTACTTTGTAAAATTACCAAATATAAAATTTGGGGTTTCAGCCGGTATTATAAATGAAAGACTTTTGTATACTAGTCTCTCTAGTTCCTGTCATCTTTTAAGCAAATTGTTGACATGTAAAACAAAAAAAATAACCAATATACTACAATTGGTTAATTAGATTAACAAACAGTGCATTTATACTTCATATTACAGCTTGATCTTGTGTTTAAATTAAGAATAGTAATTACAATAATCAAAAATTTCAATAAATTATTAAAAAAACATTGCTAAAATATATTATTAATTGGAAATTTAAATTTATTAAAATAATGATACGCCAAGATAATAAGTTACTTCAAACGTGACGTGCAGGTTACGTTAAATGTCAGAATGTTACGTTAAACGTCAAATGACGTCGCCTTGGCACATTTGCCACATACGATTTAATGATGTAACACAAAAGAGGATAAGTTAGCACCCATATTTATCATTGATAATTCATATAGAAGCAATTTAATAAAAAATTAGTTACACTGGTATTTTATGAGGATAAAATACTTGTACGTAAAATGGTATAAAATCGTTGAAATTTTTAATGATAATAATGAAATACTGTATATAAAGGAAAATTTTTATACTCAAATAAAATTATAATTTATGAAATATGAAATATTATCACTATTAATTTTTTGAATTGGAATATAACATTTTAAAAAGGAATGATTTATCGAAATAATTATATCAATATATGAATATGATTTTACTTCATATTTTCAATGAATACCTGAAATAGTAACCTATAAACTAAACTTTAATATTACTCGCTAAAGTTATAACCCGATGTTCAATAAAAAAATTTAATGTTCTGTGTGTTTAAATGTTTAATAAACTAGGATAATTAAATGATGTATTTAAAAGAATTCATTATTAACACAATATTCATTTATTGTGTTTTATAATCATCATCTGAATTTTGTGATAAAATCCCAATGTAATGGATGGATTTTCTCAATTCCAATGGAAACTCAAGATGACGTCATAATCTGTTGACAAGAAAAACCATTCCTAAATCATTGTTCAATTTTATTTGTTAATTTAAGTACAAGGCGATTCGGCTTTAAATATCATCATCAAAATAGCATGGAACCAAATATATACATTTTCAGATCGTATTCTAAATTTAATATATTTATATTAACCTGTACTATTAACTTTTTGCCCTTAATATGAATTGCTCCCTAATGAAAAAAATTTCTTCAAACATTTTATTTACAAGAAGTCAAGAATTATATCGAAGGATAGTATTGACAATAAATGAATATGAATAAAATTTATATATAGTCAATTACTCAATTTCAAGATCGTTAGCTAAATTAACTCTGAGCAGATATTTAACGCTAGTCCAAATTTAATTAATTTTTCTATTTTATAATGTAGAAATACTTGATAGTTATCATAACGAATTATTTTTATAGTAGTATCGTTTCTGACTTAGCCAAGTCTTGAAAAGACTGGTCACCAGACGTTAAGGTTGATTAAGATCCATATATACCCACACATTAAAGGATCAAAAGAAAGAGAGAAACGTAAGTATGTATGCAAAATAATATGTGGGAATGGAATTAATAGTATTACCAAATATCTATGAATAAGAAGTTTGGGAATATACAAATATTGAAAAAAATGTGCTAATCGAAGAAAAATTCGAGAATTGTGACTTGGTCAAGAGAACGGCGTAGTGGTGCCTGCACTTAGTAATTTGATAATTAGTTTTTATTTTTAGTTAGAACAATAAAACTTGAAAATTATAACTTTGTTATTTATATTATTCATATTATCATATTATATTTTGTAATCCCAGTGTGAGGTCATATGAGTTTGGCGTTGGTCATCGATAATTTGAGTTATAAATCTTCGAATGTTTATTGATAATATTTGAGATTTTTGAATATCTTTTAAAAAAATCTTTATTCAAACCTGTATCCTGTTTTGAGTTACTGGACAACAATAAAGTCAAGAAAAAATTTGGTCGGATAGGTACTAACTTTCCAAATATTAAGGAAACTGATTGAGAATAGGTTAATTGATGAATTGAATGAATGAAGTTAATTAAATTCCATAACAGATAATATTAAGGAATTTACATAGTTCGTAATAAATACCACAAAGAGTAATTTTCAGAGTCATATAATTTGTACGTATGGTAACCGGAGCCTGTTATTTATTGATTACTTTTTTTATTATATTAGAAATTTGCAAAAAAAAATATTAAATTTTAAAAAAATAATAGATGAATTAATTATATTTTATTCACGTTTTTTTTTTCCTCGGATGGACAATTACATTTCAGCATCAAACTTTTGAAACTTTTAAATTCGCCATTAATTACTCTTAAACTATTTTTAACTTCTAAAATATACACGTTTAGCAACACCATAAAAGAAATTGCTTAATTATATATAAATAATTTAAATATTAGCAACTATTAAATGTTTTATTTATTAAAAAATAGTTTAAATACATCAAAAGATTATTTAAACAAGTATATGTACTATATATACGTTTAAGTAAAACAAATGAAAGCTTATCACAATTACGAGTCGTAAAAATGATTATAAGGACCTTGATCAAAAAATGAATTCAAAACACCCAATTATTTAAAAAAAAAAAGTTTTTTTTTTGCAAGGTAATCTAATGTATTCCATATGTTCTTCGCTCCCAATTTTATTCAATCTTGTTTAATAAGTTCAATGCACCACTAAATAAATTAAAAAAAAAAGATCAATATTTCATTTAGAATTACAAATAATAAAAAATAACTTACCTCATCATTTCCTCCTAATCTTTCATTATGACAAACAAGCTCTTGAAAAGTATCATTCCCAATAGAAAATTGGATATCATGACTACGTAAAAATGCTTCATATCCATCATTAATATACTCACCGTTATTATCATAGAATTTCTTTGTGCTTAGATTAACAACATCATTTGACTTTAAATATCGTTGACTATTTTCTAATCTACTATGATTAACCTTCCAATCCGTGTGATAATATTCACCACAACTTACTATAAAATAAAAAATACTTCCTGTCACATTTATTAATGATAATTTAAATAAACAATTTTCAATGATTACCTTCTGTATGTTCACTTATCGGAGATTTGTAACTACCACTATTTATTCCAAGATACTTATAATAATCGATGTGCTGTATCTTAATATTATGAGAATCATAAATATAATCGTGCTGGCCCTTATGAGAATCATAGTAGCAATTTTTAGCAAATATAATTTTCCATAAAGCATTTGGACCAAGTACTTGGCTGCTTACAAAAGCCTGAATAAGTTATATAATAGTGTTTGTTAATTTCTCAAAAATATTATAACGAGATTAATGCAAAAAACCATACCACTTGAGATTTACTTCCGGTTGTATAATGGATATTTTCAATTGAACTTAAATATTTTCCAGTAGCAACGTGTTTTAAAGCTACAATAGATTCATTTCTAATTAAATTTAATTCATCTGTAACAATTTCTTCAAATTCTCTAATCAAATCATTCATTGATTTGATATTTTCTTTTCTTTTAGTAAATTCCGAAAGATAATTATAAAAATAATTATCATTATTATTTGGAAGTGAATGACAAAAATAATTTTTTTGCTCTTCTATATCATTAATTTCGGCATTATAACAATATTTCCGAAATTTTGAAATAAATTTTGGAGTTTCGCCTTTTTTTCTTTCAGGAATATACTTTAATAATCTTAATAATCTTTTATTTGTATTTTTAAACACTGTAAAAGAAATATCTTCTTTAAGTGCATTACGAAGTTTTTCAAGACTATCAATTTCAGCAGGAAGTGAGATAATAGGATCCACGAATGATATAGCAATTTTCACATCGTTAATATTTTTAAGTTTAAAATATTTTTGAATATCATTTATCCATTCATCTGGATGAATATTTCCATCATATTTTGGAACTTCCATTTTTTTTTTTTTTTTTTTTGCGNNNNTTTTTTTTTTTTTTTTTTTTGCGAAAAAAACGGTAAAAAGAATATAAATGAGTATCGGTATGTAATTTTTCCTAAAATAAATAAATTTGTGTTTAGATCGGCATACCTGTTTTCATCAAGATTCTACCAAAAATAGTTTAGCAACTTTATCACTTCGGTAACTATATAATATTTATTCTCATCTAGATTTCTAGTAGAGGTCACTTACACTAATACTTATTTATGAGGATAATAAAATTTTTGGTAACAAACCTGAATATTAGTTTGTAAGTATATGAAAACGATAATATTTAATATAATTTTTTTAGCAAGTAATTATTAATGTAAAAAGTAATTTACTAATGATCGGTGCTGCGATTTCTATATTAAGTAGTATTCGCCGGAATTTCAGGTATCGCTAAACTTGACCAACAATTTAAAACAGCTGAAACTGATAAATTTTGGTATAAAGGATTGTTGAACGCTTCTCTAACCATTGTCGTGGTTCTTTTAATAGCAAATTTTATCTTCTTGCGTAAGTATTAAAATTTATTCACTCTATCACTTTATATTATTTTTATTGACAATTATTAATTTTAAAGAACCCGGTACTTTGTCTCAATCTTTGACTTGCCCATTATAGTCTGAATAAATTTATTATTTAAGAATCATTATACAAAGTTCTTATGATTGATTGATTATAAAGGAATTTGACATCATATTTATTGAATAAAATATAATGAATAAAAAATTTTGTTATTTACTGAAAAAATAATCGAATCTATCCAATATATAATAAGTTGCTCAAATACCAAATCTTTATCATGAATTTATCAATTATAATTATACCGATATAATAATTAAAACTAATGTTCATTTAAAAAAATCAGAAACGTTTAAGTTTGTATTTGGTTCTTATGCTGTTAGTACTGGTTATTGAATTTCGGTAAAAGAAATGTCGATTGTCATACAATCCCGCCAGACGATCCATAATACGTTATTATTAAAATTTAAAGCATAAAATGTGTGCGAAACCATTTTAATAATTTAAAGTACAATGCTATAAAGTGGAAAATGTAATAACAAATGAGAGTTGTTGTTGCGATCCGCGGATTTATCTGATTTGAAACTATCCGGATGAAGATACGAATGATTCGTCATTTGCTATTTCTGTATATAAATCCAGATCCATCCGTTGATTAGAACTATTTTATAGTAATGGGTCCATTCAGATGGTCATCCGAATCATACGGATGACGAATCCATCCGGATCGTAACACTAAATTGAGAGTGTACGACATTGTTGCTCATATAGCAAAAATCCTAAATAAATAGCCAATAGAAATTATGATCTTTTTTTACAAACAAAGATCATAATTACTATTGGCTAATTTATCATGTTTATTTATAGATTTTAGGATTTTTATATAGCCCCTGTTTCGTTAATTCATGAAAAACTTTTTATGGAAACATACTTTAAATAATGTTTGGATGTTTTGAAAAGGGCGTTCTTTAGCAAGCTGTGCAAGAAACGCGTACGCCTCTAGTACTGTTGGTGATGTCGATCCCAACAGGAGAGGCTCCGTGATGTAAAGGTCCTGGTGATCTCTCTTAACGAACCAGTGCTCATCATATGTTGATAAGATTCCATACTGCAACTGGTTCTCCGACATGTAATAATAAATTTGTTGTACTACATTCTTTACTCTCGGATTCATTTTATAGAAATCTGAGAGTAGTCCTGGTCCAATTTCACTTAGAATGTGTACTCTCTTTATCTCTATTACCAAGATTAGAGTGTTACCTAGGCAATAGCAGGTATAATCTGGTATGCCATCACCAGGAACCTTTCTCATGGAATATTCATAGTCAGGCATAAGCTCATTTAATACCATGAATATATTTACGTTTATTATCTGACGAACTACTTCCTCATTTGTTACTTTAAAATTACTCATAAATTGTGGTTCTTTAAACTTCGGTTGTACATCATCAAAATGATGTACATTTAACGAATTAAAGAAATCTTGCCACAACATAACTCTTTTCGGTGGGTTTCCACCTACTTTTGTTGTACTTTTTGAGGAAGTTACGTACGGAGAATAGGCAATATGTGGCGGAATACGAGACAATGCGACTTTAAGGGTAATAAATTCTAAAATAAAAGTGTATATATGGCAGTATAATTAATAAACTGAATTTTGTATTATAAACTGATTAAGAATCTTTTAAATAATATGCAAGGAGAACAATTCTATGATATTATCCCCTGCTTATTAAACAACTTAGCGATTCAAAGCTAGACATTACTTACTCGATTGTGTGATTTTCTTTTTTTTTGAGGTGGAAGAACCCTCTGCTTCCAGAGTTTCAATGTCTCGCTTTTTAGTATCACACTATACAGAAAATAAAATCAGGCGATTATTTTTCCAGTAAGTGTAATTAGGTAAATTAAGATTATGATGATCAGATGCGAGGATGCTAACAGCTCATCTCTTTGTTGTGTATAAAGGAAGGTACATTATTGAATCCTCCTTCGGAATCAATAGACCTTTATCAAAGAAACTTTTGTGTTGGCAACCTACTACACTTCCAGGAGCCCTCAGACCTTACAAGCAACTCATTGGGGCCGGACAGGGCTCCGGGGCGCAGCAAGAAGTGCAAGACCTGGTGAATAGACAACTGAAATTGCGCACCTATGTTGACCACTGCACACCTCTCGGGAACGGAACGCGAACAAGGAGTGCAAAATCTTACAAACTTATTACGCTTACCATTCTCTTTTCTATAAGTTCCTTAGCAATATTACGAGCATCTTCTGTAAGATTCTGATCATTTGCAACACTTTTCAACATTTTATAAAACATGTTATGAATGACTCTTTTATCATTAATTTCATAATATTCACTAATCATCTTAGAAAAGTGTTGCAATGACCACACTTTTGTTGGAAAGAATTCGAAATACTTTCCATAAGGGATTAACAACTCGGCTTCAGAAGTGGACATCATTGTATTAAAAGTTTAAATGGATTTTACAAATTCCTTTTTTTTTTCTACGTACACTGTTTTTTCCTTGGAAGAAGTTTTATGAAGGGCACGCGAAATAAAATATCAGTACACGAAAAACTAAGCACACAAAAAACTACTTAGCGTTTGACAGTCCGACCCATTATTAATATGAAGAACGGAAACTGAAAATAATGCATATTCGTAATGTTGTAATTTCAATTTGGTAATTCTGATGGCACCTGCACGTCTGGCTTTAAAGTTCGTTTGATGAAAAAGTTTGGAAATTCAAAATGTATAATAATATAATGTTGTTAGATAGTCAAAGTCAGATAGATAATCAATGATCAACCGGTTAGTTTAAAGTATTGGCGCCATCAGATCAAACCTCTTTCAAACAGTGCATCAAAGTCCGTCTGATTAAGAATATATTAATAGTATATTGTTGTTCAAGCAGACGTTAATATATTAATCAGTAATCTGCCCATAATAAAAAATAGGCTTTCTTAAACAGTGGGAATTATCACATAACATTACAGAAAAGGAAACCCGAAAATATTTTTCATGTTCCGATAATTATATTCCAACCTTCCCATGTTAACAGTATCCGACTAGCACATCGAATTATTTACGTGCAGGTGTTTAGACATCACATATTATTAATTATTGAATATTAACGTGCGTGATAGATTTCTTATTATTTCTTTATTCATAATTATTTTATAAACCAATTATTTTTAAAATATGCAAAATAAAAAATGTGAAATAAAAAATATTTATTTATATAATAAAAATATTGTGTGAAAAAATCATTTACTGCGGATGATGACTTTAACTATTGCGGGAAAATATATCTATACTTCATAGATGCGTTGGGTATTTTAAAGTATATAAGAACGAAATGTTTGATCATATTCTTTACCAGCTTGTATGATAACATCGCAGTTTATTATTGATCTATATAAATTTTGAAATTTTAAAAATTGGTAATAAATTAAATTTGCTTTCATTTTTTTTTTTTTGTTAATATAAATTTTGATGATGTGTACGGAATTACTAAATTAAAAAGTCCATCCGCGAATAATTCTTTTAAATGGTGAGTTTGTTTCTTATTGAATATTGAACTTAAAAATATAATGGAATAATGAAACTCTCATTTAAAAAATTCTTTGGTAAGGAACCGCGTGATCTAATCTCAGCTCACGGTATCCGCATTCTTATTACGTTAATATAAAATAATTTGATACTTTATAATTATTTCAAAAGCTGAGGTAAAAATGTTAACATATGAACGAGAAATATTTTACATGAGGGTCATCAACAGCAACATTAAAATATTTATCACTACCAAATTAAAAGAAATAATGTTAATTATCATCCATAAGATTATAAGATGATAGGAACAAAATTATCTTATTTGTATCATAATGTAATATTTTATCTTTACTTAATACGAAATTTCAACTAGGGGTAGTCTTAATGTTTAATAATTTATGCACCTTAACGTAAAGTTAAAACAGTACTAAAAAATACGTCAATTGTTGCTATTTTGTGGAAATATAACTACTTGCCATTTTGGGCTTTATTTTTACTAGGTAAAAAGTGATTATTCAAAATCAGAATTTTTCAAATTGTTGCTTGCTTCGACATGTGGTGTTAGTAATTGATAAGCCATTAAGTACTAGAGTTAGAGAACCTAAATGCATAAATTTACGATAGGGTCAATTTCGGGACGATTCGATTCTAGCCCAATACCAACAATATTAATAATTTTTTCTCAGTAGAAAAGTTGTTTGTAATAAAAATATTGTCTGCTAAAGGTAGGAGGATTATCATAACTTTCATAATGAGCAGGTATAATTATCTCAGCAATCAGCAGAATTTAAAAATGTTTATATATATAGTAATCAAATGTAAAATTTTATTATAAAACAATGAACTTCTATATTGGAAGGAACATCAGCGGAAACTGATAATTGTTGTGCTTTTGATCCGATAATATAACGAGGTAGAGATTCTAAGAAGTATCTAGTCCACAATCTATTAAGAAATCATTAATTTCTTCTTAAGTTACGACTTAACGGACGCTATTTATTAAAAAAATGTCCAATTTAATTAATTTAATTTGCTAGACCAATTTATTTTGGTACAATTTATAACTTTAAATTTTTTGGGGCAATGTAAAAATCAAAAGCAAAGATCTGATTTTATGTTATTTTTTAACGTAATGAAAATACAGGCGTGTAACGAACGTCTGCATACTGTAGTCATGTTATTTATCTACGTGCGCAGTAAAATTTTCCTTTACACAAAATTATATTTTTTTTAAAAAAAAACCCCCGATATTCTTGAATGGGTTACTAAAATAGAAGGTTTTAACCAAAAATAGAAGGATTGACCACGATTATTTATTTTTTTATTTTTTTCGGGCCGTATTATTTCCGATACAATGATCTGCGTTACATTTTTACATTGTTATGGCGAATTTTTATCGTCGTTTTTCTCCGAGGATAAGGCATGTTTTAACTAAAATTATAAATTTGCTTACGTTAAATAATAAAATATGCCTATAGAAGAATTTTTTGAAATTTTTTTTTTCAAATTTAATTAATTTAATTAAATATACAAAAATTAGATTACGTAATAACACATGGGCCAATCTAAATTTAGGATTCATTTATTGTAACTTTTGACATCTATTTTTATCAAAAATGGGGTTTAATTTATATATTTAACTTTTATTATTTTTTAAGCATATGATACCCAGAAATTTTTTTTAAATACTATTTGTGTATTTGTAAGTATATTTGTGAGTATAACGAATATAACAGGATTCTTAATTTATAATAATCATTTAATTATACTATGTATCGTCAAATTTCTGAGAACATAAAAAAAAATTACTATTAAATTTACTGTAATTATTACAATTATATTAGTATAACGATTTTTGTACATCTATATAATAGGTTTTATTTTTGGAAATATTCAACTCATACCCATTTATTTGTTTACCAATTTCATTGAAGAACATGCTGATAAAAATGTTTCTTATAATCTTAAAATTTTTCAAACATTAAGCTTATTTAGTGGTGTAACATTTTTTTTTATTTAGATTCTACTTAATTATAGTAGCTTTTAATGCTTTTAATTAAAAAGTTTATTTAAATAATAGGATGTTAAAATACATAAATTGTTTGAAATTTTGCGTATGTCTTTATTATACTAAAACACAGTGAAATTCGACACATCGGACCAATAGAAAACTTTTCCAAGAATTTAGTATATTATGGAAAAACGTTATTGATGCAGATCAGTGCATCGGAAAAAATATGACCCGAAAAAAATTCATTTAATTCTACTTTTGGTCAATTATTCCTTTTTAGTAACTCATTCATGGCATATTGAATAAAAAAAAAAATAATCTTTTTTTTCGATAAAATAAATTTCTAAAATAACCAAATGGAAACTAAGCTTAGTAATTTAAATATCTCGGATGAAGATACTGATACAATAATTACCAAAAATTGTTGTAAACCATTTACTAAAGAATTATGGGGGTAAAGATTGTATTAATTCTTTAGAAAGATCAGCAGAAAATGGTGATAAAGTAGCAATGTTTAATATAGCCATATGTTATAAAAATGGAGAAGGAACAGAAAAAAATTTAGAAAAAGCCTTTTATTGGTATCAAAAAGCAGCAGAAAATGGTAATGAAGTAGCAATGTTATGTTTAGCCAATAGTTATTATGACGGAGAAGGAACAGAAAAGAATTTAGAAAAAGCCTTTCATTGGTATCAAAAAGCAGCAGAAAAAGATAATATTAAAGCAATGTTTAATTTTGCCACATGTTATAAAAATGGAGAAGGAACAGCAAAGAATTTAGAAAAAGTCTTTCATTGGTATCAAAAAGCAGCAGAAAATGGTTACAATAATGCAATGTTCAATTTAGCCATATGCTATAAAAATGGAGAAGGAACAGAAAAGAATTTAGAAAAAACCTTTCATTGGTATCAAAAAGCAGCAGAAAATGGTTACAATAATGCAATGAATAGTTTAGCTATATGCTATAAAAATGGAGAAGGAACAGAAAAGAATTTAGAAAAAGCCTTTCATTGGTATCAAAAAGCAGCAGAAAATGGTTACACTGATGCAATG